TGGGGGGGGGCTGTCAGGACACTTCATGTCGACAGCCTCACCGTCTCTCAGGTGCTGTGGGAGCTGAGGAGCCACCTGGAGAACAACCATTACCTCAGCGTTTTAGAAAATGGTATTCTTGATAAAAAAAAAGAGGGGGGGAGGGTGCCGGGGGGGCATTGAGCGAGTGGGGCTCTATTTGTTAAGGTGGAAAGTTGGTTTTACTTTTCTTTATTTTCATTTATTCATTGATTTTTAAACATATTCCAGCACAAATACGTATTTACAGAATATGCATGTGTGCCATACCAGATACAATTCTGGGAAAGCAAGCAAGCTTCCATGTCTAAAGCAATCAAAGGAATGGTATATTAAGCTATCATTGGGCCCCACTCTTGACTCTCCAGTGTGGGAAGATATTCTTCACAACTTACTTTAAACGTGACGTTAGAAGAAACTAATTCAGGCCAATGAGATATTCCTGTTATCATTGTGGACATATTTCCAGTACACCGCCCATACCCAGCTGAGTATACATATCACAGAAAGGGCCAGATGTGCACAGTCTAAAATGCACATGGTTGCACAGATGTGCACGGGTGTGCAAAAAATTGCTCGGATAATAAAAAGGACTGTCTGTAAACAAACAAAAAGTAACAGGAAGTGAACTGAAAGCAGACAGGCGGCTGCAGAGGTGAATCACGGGGCACCAGCATTTAGAGTGTCGTTTTTACATTTTTTTTAAACAGATGTTTGCTACTGTGTGGTCAGCCGATTGCTTTTTGGTGACCCAGCTGCTGCGTCTTTACTTGATGGACGGCGAAACACAGCCAGCGACCTGTTAAGCGCAGCGGATGACAAGCTGGTGAAGCATTCCTGCTGCAGGATCGGGCCGAGGCAGAGGTGGACAGTGCCGTTGTGATGTTCCTCAGGCTGAGAGAGAATATTTTTTGCAGGAGAAACAAAGCTGGTTTTGAGCTGTAGGAACAAGGGAGAGGAGGAAAAAAAATATATACTCCGTTGCATCTATGTTCTCCCCTCCTCCTCCCCAGTGGTATTAATTAGCAGCAGCAGATGAGTGAAGAACGGGAGCCTGAAGGGAGAACAGGTTCGTGTCAGGTTAGCGCGTACAGTTGTGGGCCCCCCTATCTGGTCTTCTCTTTTTCCCCTCCCTCCTCAATTGTGCACAGTAGACACACGCATTCACACACACACAGACAGACATACAAACAGAGCAGCGTGTTTTTACAGATTGTAAAAATATCAGCCTCTACTCATTATGGCCAACCAAAATGTGATTTTCAGTAATTCAGTGAAAGATCAAAGCTTTAGTTTGAGTACACCTTTTCCACAGATAGAAAATCCACTCAGACCCAAAGAACCTCAGATTGGGAATGTTCACAAGCATGAACCTCACATTCAGAGCAGAAAACAGCTTTAGCCACGCATTGGCTCTCCAACCATGCACAGCAAATGTATTTCAGCCTATTTCCTGATCATTTTCAGATGTCTACGACAAAAAAGAAAAGCCTCAGTTTTAATCAATAGAGTTGTCTGCTTCTGAAGCACAACACGGTGTGACAGTTTCTCTGGAGTGAAATGCATGTCTCTTTTTTTTTTTCTTTCTGTGACATAGCTAGGACTAGAGAGTGGAACATTGCTTAGCTCTTAAGTAGATCCTGAAACACTTAAAACAGAAATTCCAGAGCTTCAGCTTTTTGAGGTTCCAGCTAATAAAGCTGAATGCAGAGAACCAAGGTAGAGGATGTATTTTAATCATTATACATAAAAACATAAAAGATTATCTCTTAATTCAACATACTCTGTCCCTCAAAACAATCCTCATGGCTTGATAGGGGTTCATTTGTGAAAATGTAATTGTCTTGGACTCATATTGGATGCATGTATTATCACTATTATTGACCAGATGATTAGATTTGTTAATAGCACTTATGGCATTCTGGTTATGAGCTACATTTGACCTAAATGAGCTTTCTCACTGGTCTTGACACCGTTGTATGCACGTTCAGGGAGACGTGATGGGGTTTCCATACTCTAAATACACCATTCAAGGTTCATCTGTACATTTTTTGCAGTTCTGGATTTAAATGGATCCATATTTCATACCATTGATAAAACATCAACTGCTTTACTTGAAAGATTTAGCCTCTCATTGACTGTCTTTTCCTCTCTGAACCCAGCACTCCGTTCTGTCACTCAGCCTACAGTTAAATCTGGGGCTGGCCGTGTAATTACATCACTGTTCCTGTAAGAACATACATGCATTAGAGCATAATCAGATGACCGGAACCTCACATGGAAATACAGCTGTATTTCACTGTACTGGTATCCTGATGTCATCCTCCTTAAGTTAATTTATAGATGGGTTTTTCTGGATTTGAGGAATAAAATCAACATTTTTTAGAATAGTGCAGCAGTCTGGAAAAGCGTAAAGCAGCTACTTGTTGACGGTTTCTTGCCTCAGAAATTGCATTTGGATTTTTTTTTTGTGCTCTGAAGAATGACAAATGTTTTTAATTTTGTTTATTTATTTTTTGGGCCATTTTAACTGCATCAGTTTTCTGACATGCTGACATACAAAACACCCCTTTATAAGTAACTGGCCCGAAAAAAAAGTTAGATATATAGTTTAAATAATAGTAAAATATTTTGTTTTTTTATTGAAACATTAAATCTTTTTTATCTACATCTCAACGACCTTGATCTGTAGCAAGTTTATAAAGTATAAAAACTGGAATTACAATTTGCAGAAAGACAGAAGAGCCACCTTTGTGTAGCTGCCCTTCTGCATTCAGCAACAACTCAAACTGAGACTTTTCTTCTTAACTACAGTAAGAAAAAAACAGAAAATAATGCAAAGATTTGTGAGCCTGCAGACTTATTGAAGTCATTAAAAGTGCTCAACTGCTTTTTAATTTTTTCCCTCTTGTCTTCTCTCATTCTCTCCGTCCTTTTCCTGCAGAACTCAATACGACACAACCTGTCCTTGAACAAGTGTTTTCTCAAAGTGCCTCGCTCCAAAGACGACCCTGGAAAAGTAAGTATGTCCTGAACAATAGCTCGGCTCCAACCGCCATAGCTCGTACAATGAAAATACAGCTCTTTTTTCAAATGAGAGCTTTTCAAGTGTTTAATCACTCTTATAACGCATGTGTGTACACTCTTGTGCATAAGTACACATTCTCATTTTGTCTCTTTCATGCTGACACACACACTCACACACACCCTCATACAAATGAAGTGCCTGTACTTAAAAGCAGTTTGGAACTCAAAAAACCGGCTGTGCTGAATGCCTAATGCTGCCGTCTCTGTCTTCTGAGGCCCCTCCGATATTGATTCTGCCAAGTAATAATGTGGCACAAGGAGTAATGAATAATAAGTATATGTAGGTACACGCCCTCAGACACAAGGCCTTTCGTGCATTAGTTATGCTTTATTAGGGCCCGCTTCTCTGTTGCTCGCTCTCAGACGCAATCACAGGAAGCTTAAGATGGGCTTCGTCGCCCCTGCTCCTGCTCCTGTGGTTAGGAAGCAGAGTTACCTGGGCCACTTCAGCACTTCTGCTTTGATAACATCAACTTGTCAAGTCAATGTTTGTGCCGAATCGAAGCACTTGATTTACTCAGATGTGAAAAATATATAAATGAGGATGATAAATAAGGCTGAGGATGATAACTTTCTTTTTTTCCCATCAATAAAATCTAGAATTCCTGCATTTCAACTCACTGTAGGTTTAATCAGAGGAACTATATATATGTATATATATATATATATGGACTAAAAACTAAAATGACAAGCCAAAACTTTTTACAATAAGCTTTCAAAACTCTGATTATTTGGTTTGGGGGAGGGGTGGGGTGAGGAGGGAGCCTCTCCTGGCTGTGGGGATTTAGGAGCCATTGAAAAATAAATTAGGGGGAAGAAGGTTTAAATAATTCACACAAAATCCTTGGGCTCGAACGTGGAAGCCTATAGTCTGGATAGACACAAAGAGAGCGGCTACCCCCTGATTAGCCTGACTTGGACCTGACCAGCACCTTAATTCAGCCCGCAGATCGAAGCGGTCGATACCTCGGCTTGGGGGGGCGAGGTCATCTGTGTGTGGAGAAGTTGAATGAACATGCTCTGGTTAAAGCCACAGAGAGAGGGGAGAAGTTAAATCATGCATGTGCTAACGTTAATTGGCTGTGTACTGCTCGGTGATGTGGGACTGAGAGACAGGGGGAGGAGAAGAGGCAAGAATAGGGAAGGTAAGGGGGGTGGGGGTGGGGGGGGGGGGCTGGCTGTTGTGCGTTGTGTGTGTGTGTGTGTGTGTGCGTGTGTGGCACACATGAACCTCTTGAATTTAGTCTGCAGATTTAGAACTCCTTGTGAGGGAAAGGGAAAAATTAGAAGTGGGGGGAAAAATCAGGCCAAAAGAAAATCAAGAAGTTCTAAATGCAATTGATTACCGCCTCTGGTTTTTGGTGTTTATTTTGGGTAATGCAGTGTTTTAAAATTGTGTTTTAGGAGGATTTGAGTTGATTTCTTTCTTTTTATTTCCGAGGAGGAAGCTGGAGTGTTCACCCTCAGAAGACGAAAGATAAGAAAATAGATTTGATGCAGAAGTAAAGGAAACGCAGATGGACTGATTTTTATCAGATGTAGTGGATCGATGTTCTGGACTTTTTGTCTGTTCAGTGACAGACTCTGTAGTCAGAGTGACTTGAAGCAGCCTCTACCGGGAAAATAATCCATAATGAGCCCAAATACTTTCCCGACGGTTTGAAATGCTTTGGAAATGATCGGATGTTGCAAAACCACTCAAATGACCAGATTTAAGCGGTAATACAGCTGAGATTTAAACAGTGTTTTCAGGTGCACCAGCCCCATAAAATAAAGCAGAGGGAAAAATTAAATAAAGATTAGGGTGTAAAATCAAACTTGCAACACTGACGGCGGGCGTATTTTGTTGGGAAATGTGAATTCCCCACTTTAAGAGGGCAGGCCTTCAGAATGCTGCACCCAGTTGAATGTTGTAGGAGTGCTGCTGAAATTGTGTCTGGCTTTAATGTTTCTTTTTCTGCATTACAGAGAGCTGAGTGCATGATTTAGTTTTAATCACAAATGCGGATCAAACTTCAGTTTCACACCAACAGAAAAGTCTCAAACCAGTGGCGCTAAACGGCACCAACGGTGCTAAAATAGGATTTAGCCAGTTTATTTGCTAATTTACTTATTATTAGGTACTTTAATTAAATTTTGGGAAAGTATGAAACTGGTGTCTTTTGACGAAATATAATGTGAATTCTCACAAATCCCACATTTTTTCTGAAAATCATTTTTCGTCTAAAACTATTCATAAATTCGGAATCTTCCCAATGTCCACGCTAACCTAATAGAAGATCAAACAGTTTGTGTTGGATATGCTTTCAGCTCAATTTCGTAACCTTTTTTTCCTTTTGCCAACTCTGCGCTGGACTTATGTTCACGCTTCACACTTACCATTTCAGATTTTACTTCCTATTTCTTTTACCTGTTTTACTGGTGCTGTTTTCAAGGACATCACTTATGTTTGACTCTGTATATATCATTCATCAGCTAGACAATCTTCTGGGTTGTTTTAATTTCCTGTTGAAGTATACATTGTGCGTTAGTGTTATTGCTGTTTTGGAATTCTATCACTCAAATGATACCTGCTAAAACCTGTATGGCTTGTGTCCTTATCCCTCTGTATGAATGTACTTTGCTCTCTGAACACATGTAAATAAAGAGATAGGTAGTGGCTAATTAGATTTACTCTAAGTATCATTTTGAAGGCCAAGTTTGATTCAGTAAATGACACTCTATTAAATTAATTCTATTCCATGTTTACTACTTATAATAGGGAATTATTAGTTAGGTGTACACAACACTACAGATTCATCTTTAAGACTTGACCAACCTGAACATATTCCAGTAAAATCCGTAATCTTGCACACATCATGCCTCCTCTAATGCCACTTTAGATAACAGAAGTCAAATCTAGGTTTACTTCAAACCTTTTACTACTGAAGATATGAGTTTGTAAAGTTTTATTTCCAGTTTTCATGTTCAAATAAATGATTCACAACAGCTCAGCGAGCAATGTACTTTCAGTCATGACTTGAAACTTGACCAATGGCAAGGATGCCCCTATTGGCTGGAAAAATGCAAGTGTTGGTGTCAAGTGCTCTCTGCGAAGCATCACAAAGGAAAAACAAAGGAGATTAGCAAAGTCAAAGACAATTATGTTTACTCGGAATACATGTTTTATGTGAACTAACTGCTAACATTACATTTAAATTTCAAGCAGTCCATCAGTAGGAGCCATGTCTAGATTTCTGCACATTCTAGCTCTCACTTTGGGAAAAAGGAAGAAGTGTAAATAAATTCACAAAGGACCAGAAAGAGCAAACCAGAACCTTCCATCAAAAGGGCTAAACTGTAATTTGCTGTGCTCACCATTCAGGGGTCGTACTGGGCCATAGACACCAATCCTAAAGAAGACACAGTACCCAGCAGGCCGAAGAAGAGACCACGCTCCGGTGAACGGGTAAGCTCTAACAGACCTGTTGTAAACATTTAATTCTGGTTTAAAATCCTCAAAGATTGTCTTGGAGCATTTGGTTAGTATTTTGCTGGCATCTCTCATGCAGACTGCACCTTTAGAGTAAACAGGCAGTTTTGCTTCTTCTTTTTTGATCTTATGTCTTAATACCAATTCAATGCTTAACACACAGGGACGCTGATGCAAGAATTCTCGTCTCTGGGAGTTTCTAAATGAGGAAACTAGTCTAAACGACTAGATAACGCTAAAAAACCAGATATGAGAAGAGAAGGCAAAATTGCTTCATTCTTTAAAAAAAAAAATTCAAAGGCGCTCTGGTAGGATTGGAATGATGAAACTAGGATTTGATCAGAAAATTTGGGACTAAATACACTTAAAGCTGACCGAGAGGCGGGGTCCGGTCCTCCCTGGACAGGTCGCCAGTCCAACGCAGGGCACAGTCTTTACAAAATTTCCAAACTATTCTTAAAATGAGTTTATTTTTCGGAGGAGCTGGGCAAACAAAAAACTCTTTTCACTGGACTGCATAAGCGAGCGTCCGGTACTGAAAGAGCAGCAGACCTGCGAAGCAAGCAAAGTGCATTTTCATGCTCCAGGTATATTCAAAGTCTCCACTGTATCCCTTCAGTGAATGTGTGCTGAGCTTTGTGTAGACACAGACGGAGGTCTGAAGCTGCTGTGTAGACAAAGTGTAACACCTTGTCTGCTCAGCAGGCACAGCGTGAACAGCAGCCGTAATTGACTACCATACCAGAGAATCACATTTTTATGCTTTAATTATTAAATTTCCAAAGCCACAAAAATAGCTGGGTTCTCCTCGCTGAAGGCTATTTGACTGAAATTGATTCACTACTTACCACTCACCCCCCCCCACAGCATCTCATAGAAAAACCTGATCGGTACGGGTGTGTTTGCAGCAGAACCCGAGCCTTTGATCAGAATCAGAAAACACCTTGTGTGTATACTCGGCAATGTGAACCACAGGCTCACAGGCTCGTGGCTTTCAAAACGCCAGAACAGGAAGGAGCGCGCCACAGGATGGATGGGTGAAGCCTGAAGAAGGAACCAAGATTGGTTTGGAGGAATTGATTGACACCTGGAGAGGCTATAAATATATGAAACCCGGCGTCAGCTCGGCAGAATGCAGCTGCCGTTCAGTCATTAACCTGCAGATCTGAATACAAAAGCGGAGCCGAGCGAGCTCCGGCGTGTGTTTCAGGTCTCGTATCATCCCCTTTCTGCCGCCGTCTGTTGTTTCCTTTCTGGGCTCCGACTGCTGAATTTTGCGCGTGTAGTTTCTGTCTTTCAGCTAACTAGCGCAGTCATTAAGCTGCAAAAATATCATTAATACCTCCACAGATTCAGAATCTTATTATCACTGACTTTAAATGAGCTCTGGTCAGCGCAGCTTTCACACATTGAAAATATCCCCAAATATATGTATTTATTTTTTGTGAATGGAAGATTAAATCTGCTCCTGTGTGGAAAAAAACATTTTTTGTCGGATTACCTGTGGGTGCGTGTCTGTGTTTACATGAATTTTGAAATGAATGAATGCCAGTTGTAAATTTCAAGGCTTTGCCGATTCTCTGTTTTATCCCTCACAACCAGCAGCCTTTAACTTGACTCATCGGTAAGGCAGAACTTTTGCTCCCAGCGCAGCCTTTAACATGCAATGTAATGTGATCTCCTTATTCAGTTGTAGTTCTAGACTTATCCCCAGGAACAATAGGCGGTCACTAGTTTTATCCGCTACAACACTGAGTTTAATCCACAATTGATGGCAACAGGAAAGGATTGAATCTTTCAATTTAAGGCGTATAGCCATTGTTTAAAGTGACCCACCAGCGTGAAGGTGCTTCTTTTGGTATGGCTGACCCTCTGTGATCCTTCTGAATGTACCTGTTTGAGTTGTCGCATATAGGGAAGCCTGCTGTAGTTCACCATGCATCTATCTTCCTGTCACTGTTTGTAGCGGCATGATTATTATCTTTCTGTTCGTCTGCCGCTCCTTCCTCCCCCCCGCCCCCCCCCGCCCATATTGCTGCTTTAGCCTCCCCGTCTCCAGGGAGCTCGGGCTGGAGACGAGCGGCAAAGTGCACAATCACCGATGCTCATTGGAGGAAGTCTCGTGGTGAAAGAGACAGAAAGGGTTGCTTGGAGGAATGGAGTGAAGTGTTGGACGAGAGGATGCAGCAATACAGAGAAAAATGCATTGTGGTAGGCAGAGTGTAGAGGGAAAAAGTCAGGCTTCAAGGAGGGGAAAAGAAGTAAGCGAAAGAGAAGGGAGGAGGGAATATTCTAGGCTTGTGTTCCAGTTAATTACCACAGAAGGCCCCGGGGCTGCTGCTAGACATATTTTCCTCACCAACGATTTTTTTTTTATTTCATTACAAACATTAATTAATTCAGAGCCTTGTCATCTCGTCTTACATGGATGGGCCCTTCGACCCTTTTTCTTACGCCTCACTTGCACTGCTGGCAGACATGCTGTGGGCTGTCACATGGGCTAAGGAGAAACTGGGAGGTTTAAAGTTCAAAGATTTATGGCAGTATTACTGTCTTGTTGCAAAAAAAAAAAAAAAAAAGGCAGACTAAAAATGTATAATGGTTTTCATGGGGGTTTTCCTCGCACCTCAGCCGCACAGTCAAAGATTTAAAGTCGGCACTGAGGCTAAATGTCAGCTGCATAAATGCATTGTATTAGTGTGCAGACAGGCAGCGTACATTTTGTGTTGTACCTGTGTCGGCGGTGCCCTTGGAATAATCACTTTTTCATTTCATGTATGCCTCTCCATCTGCCCGTCTGTCACCACTCAATTATCTACCTATTCTTCTTCTCCTCATTCTCTCACAAGCCCTTTTTTTCCCCCACTCCCCTTCACCTCTGTGTAGTCTTCTTTCTAAGTGCCTACACCAGGGAAGCAGCAACCCGTTTCACTGGGAGTTTATCATAAATTAAAGGTTGCATTGTTACCAACCAATCCTCTTACTGTAAGCAGTTTGGAAAGGCATGGAAGCTGTCTTGAACCTTGAAAGGAGTCAGACAGGGAGCAAAAATAGTTATTTTTTTAATTCTTTTTTTTTTTCTCGCCAAGCCTCAGTTGGTCTTTGAATGGTTGAACATGAGTTTACCCTGCTGTTGGTTTCGTTGAAAGCAGGAGAGAATGAACTGCAGCCAAAAACATTTTAGAAGTGTGAATAATTCATGAGCATCGTTTGATTCATCTTATCAACTGCGAGTGATGTGTCCACTTTTCAGGGTGTTTAAGTGTCTGGCAATTTACATGAAGCTTGTCTGGTGTGAACTAGTTCCCACAGTTTTGAGCCCAAAGAATTGCGGTGATTCAGGAGGCTCGCACAGAAACCACGAGGCATGTAGAAGTTTTTCATAACCTTTGTCACATTTCATTTCCCTCCTCATTTTTAAACGCGTTTCGATGTTCCTAATTAGTAGACTGTGCTCGAAATAGTTTTGCATATTAACTAACCAAACAGAGTGTTTAAAACTTTCTATTTAGAGCATAATGTGTTTTTAATGATAAATTGTTTGACTTGCCACAGCCAATCAATTTGACTTTCTTATCAGCACCTTTTAACTTTGATTAAATGAACTTCAAATAGCTGTTTGAGGTTTGCAAAAGTTATGTGAAAGCCTGTCAGGTAAGCAGTCACATGTTAGTTGCACAGGGTTTTTAATTTCTGTCAATCACTCTCAAGTAAAGCAGAAAAACAGTCTCCAGTCTTCATTGTTTGTAATGTATTCTTTACATTGCAACAGGTTTTGTACAAATTCATTGATTTAAATCAATGTGCTTGAGTTGTCAGAGTCAGAGGCCGGTCAATACCAAATCAATCAATACCAAAAGCTTGGATTTTTCCTCAGATGGAAGGCAGTTGCAGCAGAATACAGAAATGTATCTTTTATGGAGAAGATCCATAGATAATGAGGTTTATCGAGTTTTGGGGGCCGCAATAGAAAAGGCGCCTTAGATGTTTTTGTGCAAAACAATTGCTGCTGTCTAATGTGTGGTCTCAATAAAATATATTTTTATTTTTATCCTTTTAATTGGCAATTGACACATTTTAATGCAATATCTAAAGCTTAATTCCTTTACAATACTAAAAAATCTGGTCTTCTGCTTTTTGTCTTATGGTTTCCACTTGAACTACATGGTATTTTTTAAATCATTTTGGTGAAGTTTGTAATGGCATTTACTGCTCTTCTCCTTGACTTTGATGAAAATATTGATGGTACGGAGAATTCCAAAGCAAACTTAATTCTAAAAAAAAACCTAAGAGAAACTCATAAGATGCTGCAGGTTTTTTATTTTGAATGGTGATCAAACTCACCTCGGGTATAAACTCACCAATGTATAAATATTCAGCAAGGGTCACTTTAACAGCAAGAAACTCTTGAGTGTATTTCTCCTACTTTTTCAAAAAAGAAGCAACATTTTATTTCCGGCCAGGCAACAGGTCCTTGAATGCATCATTTCGGGTATTACTGTGAGTGAGGTCATATAGAAACTTACATATCGAGTTCTGTCTTCCCTTTTTTTCTATTTCTTTTGAAGGCATCAACCCCTTACAGTCTGGAGTCAGAGTCTCTGAGAATGGACTGTATCATGTCTGGAGGGGCATCCCCAACGCTGGCCATTAATGCTGTAACCAACAAGGTAAGAATCCAGCTGGTCGGGAGGGGGGGGGGGTTTACACTTTATTGTTGTGAAAATCAATTAAAAGTCTTTTACAAAACTGTGCTGTTAAAAGAAAAAATCCCAGCAGATGTGATCTGTGCTTTTCGTCATATTATTACAAATTTTACAGCTCTCAATTTATTTTTAGTCTTTAGCGTAAGGTGTTAAAATGAAAAACAGTAACTTTTGATAATTCTTAGTCCTCACTCTGTCGCTGAGCCTCCCCTAAAACAGTTTACAGCGCTATTTATCGGGCCTGAAACCTTTGGTCTGTTGTGTTTAAGGATCCTATGGAGCTTCTTTAGTGTTATTTTTCAAACATTTTTTGAGTTGATACCTTCCAAAATGTTCCAACGCCAAAGCTCTCAGCTATTCCTTTTAAGCAAAAGCTAAGGTCACGTTCACACTAATATAAAATCCATCCATCCATCCTAATTCCAAAGTGCATCCTGTTTTTTCACATGCTTTCCTGGGCTTTCACCGTCTTGTACTTTACCTAACTTAAGACAAATTGCACTCATCTGTTTTTTTTGTTTTTGGTTCAGAGGATTTGTCGTTAATGAAGACTTTTATTTTCACTCATTTGTCCAACATGGTTATTTCAGAATTTGTGGGAATTTCTGTCTCATCTGGAAAGGAATGCTCCCCCCCCCCCCCCAAACAGATGGAGAACAAAATCTCTTCGGAAAAATACTACTTTGGTTTGTAGCTCTCATAAATTAGCATTTATTTTAGGATATCTTTGCCTCCCAACTGGCAAAACGAAACTAATTGAAACAGGGTGTTTCACAAGGGGACTGCCAAAACATACATCGTTAAAAGGAAATGTGTAGACAACATGAATTAATGTGGTTAATGTTTTTTTTTTTTTTTTTTTTGTAGATCATATTGATATGCGTTTTGACGGTTCACTTTATTTTCAAGATTTTCTTTTTAAAGGTTAAAGGATAACCCTGGGTTTCAAGCGTATGCTGCAACAGATCAGAGGAGATTTGCTTTTTATCTACAGAGACACCTTTAAAAGTTGACCCATAAAAACTTCAAACATAAAGACTTCAGACAGGGAAATGCAGACCATAGTCCATGTTTGCCTGTGTTACCTGCCCAGGCTGTGTGTGACATCATCAGCTAAGTTGTTGCCAGGCTACCAAAACAACACCATGATCCATTAATGGTGAGATCTGAAGATTCCTCCATTACCTCTCTCTGCCACATAACCACTCCACGTTCTAAATGTCAATTATCTAAATAGCAGACAAATTATTTCCCTTTGGGGAAAAAGTGGTGGATTTATATTAACTACCATCACGCGGTGGTTATACTCAGCAACCACATGTGTCTTAGATGAAAAATTTTAGTTGTTTGTGCTTTGCGGTTAGCAGAAGACACACAAAGGGATCTTTGACTTTCTGTTTCACCGTCAGAAGTTGTGTCTTTTACAGTGGAGTATCTGCTGTACAAGACACACACACACACACAGGCACACGTTGTGCTTAAAAGGCTGAACTGGGTGTGACCAGCTATATGCGGGGTCAGAGGTCAAGCAGCGGCTGGGACCTTTGATGCCTGTCTGGTCTGGCATACAGTGATGATGTGTGGTAGGTGACCCCTTCGTCTGACCCCGACCAGAGAGAAGATCTGTCCCACAGCAGCTCACATAACTGTGCGTGTTTGCTCTGGATGTTATGTGGAGCTCTGGACTTGATAGCATTTCACATCTTTCCACTCTTCCACTTTTAACACATTCTGACGCATAGTTCCCAGATAACATGAATACTGAGTTTTTTTTTATCCCGGCACTTAAGAAATTTCATTAGTTTATCTTCATTAGTCAGTTGGAAATTGCTATAATGTTGAGCATTTGCTGGTTCCAGCTTTTTAAATATGTTTTTTTTTCTTCTCCAGCCTCTCTATTTGAATTAGGAATTTTTAGATTTCTGTGTTGGCTGAGGGGGGGGGAGCACTAAAAACCACAGAGTAATTCTTTAAATGAGTTAATTTCACAGCATGGTAGTTTTAACAGCCATTAACGACAACACTTCCAAAGTTTTCTCCTCTTTCATTACATATCTGATAACAGAGAACACAAAGACGGCCTCTTTAACAAGCAAAGAGATTCACACAGGCACCAGGCTGCAAATTGCTTTACCTCAAACATCGCCGTTTGCTCACATTTGGTGTTTCTCCTTAAAGAAATAATTAAAAGTGACGCGTCTTGGACATCGCTGCACGTTATGAAACAATGATTCAGAGCAGGGAGAGGAAGACCTTGATAATAATGATGCTGATGCCAACGTCAATGATATCCGCCCACGTTTAGACAGGTGGCGTCCTGCAGGCGCAGCAGTGTGTCAGAATCTCTTCCCTCACACATTTGCTAACTGATATTCTGTTTGTGTTGGAGAATGCCTTTGCCTTCTACTCGATACTAGGAAAATGGAATAGCAGAGAAATATTTGAAAGAGAGGATATCATTGCGTTCCGACATTGTAATGTTTTCCCATAAATTCTTTACAAATCTGAAAAAAAAAAGGCCTTCCTCAAAATGCGATTGCCTCTTCATGTTCTTTCCTTATTTATGCACGTAAAGCTCAAACGTCTCATAAACCACGGCATAATTCCCCTGTCTCAGCGGTGTCACAGTAAAGAGAATTAAGTGTTCACCCTTGGCAGATTTTACCAAAACAGAAAAAGACTTGCTACTCAAAGAATGCCTTTTTCCCCCCCTCCACTACGAGGTGATCCGCAGGGTAGAGCACTGCCCCAGAGAGCCTTTGCTGCTGTCTAAACCCGAAGGCTATGTTTTCACATTTGTCTTTACAATTAAATGTAGCCTGGAGGTAATGCTGGTGCTCTGGCTCACAAGTCCTGACAGTCAAATAAAACAAGAGAAGCATGATTCAGAATAATCCTGAGGCTCTGCTTTTAAACGCTTTTTGATCTGTCACCCAGTCAGAAGATAACGCACTACAGCTCCTCTCACTTCTTAAGGTACCAGGCCTCGTCTGTGCTCAGATAATTCACGGAAAACGTAAGACTACAATGTCTCGATTTGATGCAAAAAGACGACTATTTAGCAAAACTAAAACCGGACTTTCTGTATTTCGCGAAGTAAGGGGATTGTGTACGGATAACTCCAAGAGGTGGGAATAGTTCATCATCTAAATAAGGGAGGAAAACTCTTGTAAGCCCAAGAACAATAAAATAACAAAAAGCATTTTGGTGCGATAGTGAAAAAAAGTTGGTCCTGTTTAAGAGCTTTTACAGTTGCGTCAAAGTGAATTCTTTCCTTCTGTGTGTGTGTGTGTGTAGGTAACACTGTACAGCCCTGAGGCTGAAGGCAGTGAGAGTCCTGGGAGTCTTGGTGGCAGTCTGAGCAACAGTCTATCAGAGCAGAGTTTGGCGTCTGTCAACCTTAACAGCCTGAACAGCGCCGCCAGCAGCAATGTACACAGCTACACACCAGTAAGACCCCTCTCTTTCATAACGTCCGTAAGCCTAACGGTTGGTGTGGGAGAGTGTCGATCTGTGCCGGAACAGTAGCCGAATGAGGCTGCCACACTCCTGTCTTACCTCAGCCAGGCCGGCGCCTTCGCCCACTTATCTCATCTGGTTTGGTTAAAAGGCAGTTTGAGGCTGTTTTTCTTACATTATCTGCTTTCTCTTGGTTCTGACATAATCTGGATGATTCAGTTGACGGTCCAGACACTCAGTGGGTGCAGGAGGTGTCGGGTGCACCCTTAGCAGCTGAGGAGGTGGCAACCAGATAACGACGTGCACGCTGGATCCGCAGCCCACTGCTCAAACTCCCACCGAGGGTTTGGTGTTCGGACTTTACAGCATTTTTAATGGCGTTCATCAGATTTTCTTTTATCAGATTTTAAACCAAATTTTCCGTCAGCTTTTAGCAGATGGTACATCTGCATCTTTAAAAGTCTCAAAGTTGCTGTTTTCATGCTTTGACAATAGCTCAAAACCAGCCAATTTATTGTTATTTTTTGCATATTAACATAATTATTTCAGCGCTGCGACAATGAATGTGACAGTTTAAACTCGCCCCAAACAAAGTGTTTAACAGTTTGCTTTGGTAGAGGCTTGATGCAAAAGTGACACTGGTGGAAAAGAAAAAGACTAAGATTTTTAATTTGCCATTTCTGTGGCACTTAAGAGATGATTCTTTATCATTAATATGCAAAAATAACTTATCTTTAATATTAGAATAATCATTTTACAAACAAAGAAACTACATTTAGTTCTTCGATCCACATTTGCAGGTTAGAAGGAGATGCTTCTGTTAACCAGAAATAAGACAGATTTTTCACCTGCCTGAGAGAATCTGAGCAGGTGAGAGAAGAACCAGATTTTATTCTCCTTATGTCATTCAGATGGTCAAATAGTGTCAAACCCCCTCCCCCCCTCCTGAACACCTTACAGACTTAAGATAAGGGGTGTCTTCATCCAACCATTTCTGCAACTTTCCGAACCACCAGTCTGGGATTCACACCCACTTAACGCTGTGATTGGCCAGCTTTGCAGGGTATAGACAGGGAGGGCTTACTTTTTCCACTTATGATGTGATATTTCAGGTTTGGCAATGTGAATCTATTACACAGACCCCCTGAAAAGTTACCCCCATGTTCACATGATACCTTAGGCTGAGGTTTTTGACACGCAGTGGGTCAGAGGGTGCACCATAAAAAACAGTGGAGTTCTTTATTAAAATGATTACCATTTTGGGATCAATAATCTGCCATCAAGTTCTATGTTTATGTGCTGGAAGATTTTTATGTTTTCATTTGAAAGACAGCGTTCCACACATACAGTTGGTGTTAAGCTGGGCAGAAAAATGTGTTCAAGTTGTTTGTCGGAGGCCTGGCGTGGCACCAGCTACCACTTTCTGGGTGCACACACAGAGAACAACATGAGCCTAATCAAGGGGAAGGTCATCTTTTTAATTGTTATGGTGCCTGTGGTCTTGGCCATTGTGAAGTACATCTCTCATTGAGTCGTATAGCTATTTGAGCTGATTAATCTCAAGTATTGCATTTGTGTGTGATTAGAAACGATAACGGGTTGTCTTTTTCATGCCAAAGGGCTAGACCTGGCTACGACATGGAGCCAGCTGAGAGGTTGTATTCAGAAAGTGTCTGAGATTGAAGAAAAAAAATGTTCATCTCACTCCCGTTCTGTTATCCAAGCAGCCAAATTAAGCAAGAATGAAACAGCATGTGGACTTTGGAGAGCCCAAAACAAAATGCTGGTATTAATAAGTCAGATTAATAGCACCAGCACACTAAGGTGTGAACGATTCCAATTTGTAGTTTGTTTTTGTGATAGGATCAGGTTATAGGATTAGGATTCAAATATACTGACCAACAAATGCAAATGTAAAATGTTTTTGTTTCTCATTAAAATTTGACTTCATTCTGAGGGAGGGTTGAATGCCTTGGGATCCCCAAGGAGGAGCTGGGGAGTGTGAGGTGAGGATGTCTGGGTTTCCCTGCTGGACCAACCTCGATGAAGTGGTGGAAAATGGATGGATGGATCTATCAAAAGTACAACAGCCAAATAATTCAGGAACCGACTATTTTTTTTATATATCTTGCATTCATGTTACACTGTGACTGTGCAGAAGGCTTCACTTGTAGTTTTGACTTTACAGCCGTCCTGAGCGTGCTCAAAATCTTCCCATGAGTTTTCCCATGACCTTTCCTGTAGTGCCTCCATCAGGCTGAAACTCTGATTTTTTTTTAACAGAAAGTGAAGTTCCTGTCAAACTCTCATTCTTTACAGTCCATGAGCCTTTCAAGCATTTATTATTTAGACCATGTATATTCATGGTACCGGGGGATAAATCTCTGGGAGGATGGTGGAACCGGACATTTCGGCTGTCTTTCTTTGTATTTCTTTACATTCATTTATTTTTTCCCCCGCCTTCCACTCCAGCAGCAGCAGATGTTCCTCTTGTGTTCATTAGATTCCCTCTTCATTTAAATCTAAAACTGTAATGCTTTTTGATGCATTTGTGTTTAAGTAGGCTCCTTTAAAGCAGATATTGTCCAATTTAAAGGCCGGACTTTGTTCAGAAACATTTGCTCCAAAATTACCAGAGCGCAGGAAAACCTCAATTCTTCATTATTCCTCCTTTGTAACAGCTGCTCACCTTTTTACCATCAATCATTTTTCCCCGGTCACCTCCCACCTACATTAGCAAAGGTCAGTGCAATCTCATCTCGTTAACCTCTCGTTTCTGGAGGCCATCTTTTGTTTTCCTCCTCTCTGCATCGCCTCCTCCACCCCTCACCCTCCTCCTCCTCCTCCTCCTCCTCCTCCTCCATCATTTCAGACCTCATCTGTGGTCTAGTCCTCTGGGACCGGGCTTAGTTCTGACTCATTACCTGGCGCAGGTGATACCCTCCTGACTGACGGTGATTACTGATGGCATCGCTGGCAGGGATCTCTGAGACGCCGGGAGAGTTTGCAGAGAGGCTGCCATTATTGGGTACAGGTTGATGTGTGGGTGATGCATCAGTGTAAGTTGGCTTACACTGGTGGGGGCACACTGATCACAGCAAATTGCTTGTGTTCACTGGGAGGATAGTGAGCAGGATGACAGCTGGGATGATTGAGGATGGAGGAAGGCATGCGGCAGCCGCAAAATGAGGCAGAAATTTGAAGCACCGTGTTTTGTTGTTGTCTGTTCTGTGGAAAGAAATGAGTGGCAGCGAAGAATTTATTTTTTATTTTAGCAGAATCACATTGAGGGTGATCATTATCCCCAGTGGCTGAATTGGAAAATTATTTGGATCAATTATTGATTACAAAAATTCATTTGCACGGCACGGTTTAAAAAAAAATCAATTCAGTTCCTTTTAAACAGAGCATGATTATTATTGAATTTCACTTTCCCATTTTGCACTGCGGCTCTCCATGTTGAAATGTTTGACCCACCTGACCTGCTATGACAGAAACTGTTAAGCTTAAATGGTAAAACAACATGCATGTGGGAAGTGTGTTTAAAAATGGAAGGCTTCTCTGTAAAGTAATTATCTTTAATTCAAAAGAATATTTTTAGGTGAAAGAAGATTAAAGAAAATTGTCAAATGATTGTTTTGGTTTGTTACCATAAAGACAGCACTGAGGTTCAAAACAGATGTTTTTACAACTGCTTTAAAAAGGATTGCTTTCTAAGATCACCTCATTTTTGTTAATTAGCATGTACATAAATGATTACAGTTATACTTCATTGTCTCAGATTCTCCATGTCCTTGTCTGTTGTTAGGCAGCTTACATTATGCGAGCATTAACAAAAATAATGAGTAAAATTCCTTTTACCTCATCTTAGCCTTTAGCTGTTTATTGTGCATTTACTGTTTAGATTATATCATGTTCCCAATTATTTAAAATTGTGATTCAAAAGGCTGTTGTGAGATTAACTTCAAAACTATATATTCTGCATTGCAAAATTGAAATTATCTCACCTTTTCTGTTCTATTGGATCTCCATTAGCCTCTGTCTGCATGCTCTGTTTTCTTTTCCTTTGCAGCATTCTTTTATCCTGTTCATTTCATGTGTGTGAGTTCAGTGTCTGAATGAGTTTTGAAAAATTGCCAGAAATTGTGACCTGTTTAACGCTCTTAACAACTGTTGGCTGCCTTTTTGTGAGGGGTTGCACGGGTGCGAGTAAATTACAAAAATACACAGTTCCACTGCAAAAATAGTCCCCCTTTTATAGCCGACATCTGACCTCTGTCTCAATTAGGGATACCTCTTATTTAACCAATGTATTTGGATATATTTATTTTTCTGCATTTCATATTGTCCTTCTGACAATCCCTGTTTCTGTTTCTGCTCCTTGAAGGTCAGCAGCCACTCGGAACCTTCATCCCAGTCCCTGAGCCTCCAGCAGCCCCCCCAGCCTCCACCACCTCCTCCTCCCCCCCCACAGCCCCAGTACGGCTTGCCAGTCCCGGAGTCACGGGACAAGCAGCTCTGCTTCTCTGACTTTGAGGACCTGAGTTCGTCTTTCCGCAGCCTTTACAAGTGCGTCTTTGAGCAGTCCTTCTCACAACAAGGTGGGTGTCAGCTCTGGCTGTCGGTTGCCATGGCTGTCCTGAGTCCACAGCAGCGTGCACGCTACCAAAACAACAGGCGCGAACCTCAACGTCAGGCTTCATGCACATAATTAACTGGCATGCTTAAACTTGCGTTCAAACTCTAACTATTTTAGCATGGATTTTTTCATGGCAACCATTCCAATATTAACCATCAACAGGCACAACTCTTGCTCCGCTGTATTCGAATAAACAAACATTCTGTTGTTCCGCATATATGCGTTTAATGGCTCGCTCAGTCAAACAAGGCAATTAAGAATAAGAATTCAACAGAAGGAGAAAAAAAAACTCACCAACACATCTGTGGCAGAGCAGAGCAAGGGGCTCTACAGCTTTGATAGCAGCTAATTAGATTGGTTCGAAAGTTTGTGAAGCATCTCGCTAATTGCTTCCTGAAGCTTTCAGGTCATCAGGCCTCCTCCCTGTTGGACCCCCCACCATCCCAATCTTCTCCTATCACCTTCCTATGCTGGCTCTCTTCTCTCCACACACATCGCTGGATCCTCTGTAACTGAGGAGTGTGATGCGCTCTGTTGAGCCCCCCTCGTCTGACAAGGCCCCCTTCAATTGTGAGATATCAAATGTCACCCGAAAAATCACAAAATGTTCTCACTTTGAGCATTGCATTCCTAACCTAAGCAGTAACAAGGTTCAGGCAGATTTCCAAAGTTTTAACAAGACACAATAATGTCCCTGGAAAATATGTTTTAATAATGTTAAAGCAGGACATGGCAGGGCGAGGAGTCAGAGGAGAGAAAAAGTCATCATGTTTGATCATTTTGAGAGCAGTGATACGGCAACACTGCTGAGCCCAACACCACACAGACAGGTAACCACTCCCCACAGTGTCGTCATTTCAAACGGTAACAAAAGAGCAACTCTAAAGAGGACATTAGAAAAAACTAAAATTGCTCAAACTCGCAAAGTCCGCCAAGAAAATAAGTCGTAATAAGTTTTACGATCTGGCTTCAAAAAGTGTGCCAGCCCTTCTCTAGGTGATTGTATAATCAGAGGAAGGCAAATCATTTCTCAGAGGTTAACAGATTTCTTGTTAAATGTGAAAACAGAAAAAAAATTGTTTAAAAGTACTTGCAGAAGCCACTGAACAGTAGGAAGCTGGAGCAGTTCTCCATTTTTTTTTATTTAAGAAGGCTCCTGCTCTTCTTTGTTGGAGAAAGACTTATCCATCACTGTTTGGGTTATTCCCCTGTTCACTTGTAAAACGGTAGCTGAAAATATGAGGAGACTCCTTATGAGACACTGTCAAGACATTTATGAAAATATTACCTTAATTTCAGTTTAATCCTCCTCCTGAGCTGTATGTATCAGGTCTATCTGTATTTGTTATAAAATTATGGAATCTACTCCAGATATAAGTATATGTGTAGTGTGATTTCAACATATGCCACACTTGTTGCATCTGCTTTTATTTGCACCAAATTTGCCAGTCTCAGGTTTCAGAACAGTTTAGATAATTTTATTGTCCTGTTCATGATAGAGAGGCTGTTATACTTGCTCTGTGTTTTAAAGTTGTGGTAAGATGTGTCTTGGATATATTGTTTTTCATATCTTACTCTGGCCTAGTGGTCAGGATAAGAGGACTCCTTGTAGTACAAAATGTGTCTCTTATCTTGATGTTTGGTTTGGGCAAATGGTTATGGGTTCAGGTTTCTGAGTGAAAGCAGAATGTGTCTCTGTTCAAGCGGTTGACTAATTATTTAACACTGTAACAAATCCTTGCTCGGCTTATTTTCTTTAAAGTCTGCTCAGATTAAAGTTGCCGAAAAGAATTGTGGTTTTACTACTCCCAAAGGCAGCAAGAGAACAACGAAGGTGAGATAAAAGAATGCAACTGTCTCTGAAATTTTAATAAGAAAGGTGCCAGCACAAAGTTTCTGCAGCTGTCAGTATCAATGATGAAAAGTGAAAAAGTAAAAAACATACTCTTGGAGTAACTTGTGTAAGTAAAAAACTTTTTGGGGGAGAAGAATCCTCTTCTGTGTATACCACACAGAAAATCTGAAATCCATGATTTGACGAGGGAGGCTGTGTAAGTGTGTGTCGGAAAGAGATTTTCATAACTGGTATCAGGAGAGCTACAGGCCTGACCGCACTACATTGTAGAGGGTGCAGGTTTGCAGTGTATATCACAGTCAGTGTTTATCTCTGAAAAGTACAAATTCTCAAGACAATAATAGGAAAAGGTATAAAGTTTTTCATTCCTGTTCAATAAAGACTTTCCTTATACGTTGAACTGTACAACCCCTCTTTTTTATTTTACTGCATTGCTACCTGTGGCTCATGCTTTACAATGTAAATAAATATGTTTAAGGTTTAAAGAAAACTAACTCTAAAAATGCCCTAAATTGGTGATGGCAAATTGAATAAAAAGTTAAAATATTGTATGAAGTGGAATATTTAGCTGATGTGAAAGGTCCCGGAGTTTTTGAAAGAGCTCTCATGCCATGTAAGAGCCATATTTCTGCAGAAGGGGCTGCAGTTTAATTATAAAAGAAAATATGGCAACTGACTGTGAACTTCCATGGGACCATCATTATTAGAATAATGGTAGTAATAGTAATATGGTACCTGGAATGAATGCCACTTATCAAAGAGGCAACAGAGAGACCAAAGTTTACCTATCCGAGATTAGAATCTGTGTCCATATGACCACACTTTGCTAGCCACAAAACTATTAGGGAATTTTCTGAAAACTTTGGAGTTCACCGACAGTGGAGGCGTTTAAAATATGTGTAAAAGAGACGCTTCTCGAAGCATAAACTGATTTGATCAACAGCAAAACCCCACAGAGAAGCATGGTAGTGGCAGCATCATGCAGTGAAGTGTTTTTCATCTTTACAGCCCGGGAAAGGGCTCACAATTTCCCCCTCCCCCTCTGTGCAGGTCTGATGAGTATGCCGAGTGAGTCCAGTCAGCAAGCCCGAACCGCCTGCTCCTACCAGCACTCCCCTGGTGCTGGGAGCAGTAGTGGCCATCACCACCAACACAACCACGGCCAAACGTCACACCACGCCCACCTCCCTCACCTGTCCCCTCACCAGCACCAGGTGCACGGTCAGCACGGCCAGCGCCAGCAGCACTCCACCCATTCCCACCCATCTCTCTCCCACCAGAGCCACACCGTGCAGACCTGCCCCACGACAGGTGAGTTTTGATCTCCTGCCCTATTGGGATCATCTTTTCTTTCCACAAATAATTTTTTCCCCCTATCAAAATAGTTCTAAATGTCCTGACATTTATGTTTGCTTGAATTTGATTTTGATTAGAGGTTTTGCTGCATGAAGAGTTGGTATTTCTCAGAGTAGATGTGTCTGTAAAATGAGCTGCTGATGTGGCTGTAAACTGCACATTTCGATACCTTTTTTGCCCCTGTTTATTTAGAGACATACCCACTCGTCAAAGCTGCACACATCTGTGTGTAACAGCACTGTTTGATGCACTTCAGCCTCACCGTCTGTCACCTAGCGTAGCTGATGAATGACAGATGACTTAATTTGTTGATTAACACAAACAGTTTTAAGAATTACGTTTAGATTTTAAAAGCTGAAATTTCTAACATCGTCACTGAGATTTACACATTGATTCTGATCTATTCTGCTTACTAAAAATGTGTTGAACCTGGCTATGCTTTCAACAGTGCTCTTGATTGTGTCCGTGGCATTAGTCATGCGCATGTACATGTACATGGACAAAATTAGGCCCTCCAGCCTACTTAGAACGCGCCTACCACAGGGATACAGTGTAAAGCCATCTGTTGTTTTCGGTGTTACCAGCCTTTAACATTGGTGTTTGTGGTAGTTTCTGGACAGGTTTAGAAATCATTTTAGCCCCAAAAGACTGAAGATTAACATGTTGCCACAGTAAGTGTGGAAGGACTTTACCTGGTTGTTTTTGTGAATTGGTCCTCGTTTGAATAACCTGATTTGGACCAGCCACTGGCATGAAAATTACTTTTTTTTTCTTTTTTCAAGTAATGGGTTAAAAAAATCAAATTCCAAGACTGTAAAAATAAGTATGTAGCTGCTTTTTCATAAACAGCGTGTCTGATTCATGTGGAGTGAAAGAAAACTAAGTTATAAAGATGTTTTAGCTAATTTAGTTTAACTCCATGACCACCTTCATATGGTGGGTTAATGATTCATCTCAGAACGATAGGATTGCTGTTTTTTTTAGATTTCATGTTGTCCCATTCAAATTCCATAGTATAAAGTAAAGTACTGTGGACTTCTTACAAGAAGCGTCTATGCCCAAAGCAACAAGTTACAGGCATCCTTTATCATATCGATTAGTTTGAAATGTGGAGAGAAGCTCAAAAAGTGTAGCAACATATTCCACATTTTCTGATACAGTACAGCATAACAATAATTCTCCATCCACTGATTCCCAGAGACACATTGCAAAGCCAGTTCACCCAACAAACAGAACTGCCTCTGCCCAGGATCATTGCATTTATATTGTTCTTTCCTTGGTAAGGTCCCAGAGTGCAGCATTTGATATCACGAGCTGGGCTAACACAAACAGGCCTATCCAAAGATTCTCTCAGACTTCTCCTGCTCTCATTCAAAGCTTTTGCTGTTTTATTTTCTCCTCCGTCTCCCGACTTTTTGGTCAAAGTACTATTCAGACAATATCAATCTTCGGTTTTATTGCCTTCAACAAAACTGGGCATGAATGAACCCCACCACTATATCTTTTATTTACATATGTGGTGGTAAAGATGGTGAAAAGACTCTCCCTTTGTTTTTACCCCTCTTATATGCACATTTGCAGCTGTATTTCTGTCTGTGTGAACTCACACCACCTTGTGGTTGTTTGCATAATATTCTTTCTGTCATTTTATGTACCGTCTGTACCCTGGTCGTGGTCAGGGATGAACTGACCCTACCTCTTCAGGGCAGAGGTAGGGTTCTCCCTGGACAGGTCACCAGTCTTTCACAGATCCAAAGAAAAAGGGAAACTGTTCGGAGGTCAGACTCAGGCATTAACTAAAAGTGTCCATTCCCCTAAAATTATTCTTTTTTTAATCACGTTTTGAGAGGTTTTGACATAGGTTTTAATGGTGCAGGTTTGTGTCACAGACCTGAGTGTCTTTTAAAACCCTTAAATGGTGGGACATGAAATGTGGCAAAAAGTAGACATGAAGACACAAAGACTCACTGAAAGATCCAACAGAACTAGCAAGTTTCAGACATTAACAATACTACATACAAGACTGTGAAGCGTCATTATGTGTAAACACACACTAATTCGTGGCTGATGCCCCTCTGGTTGGTGTATGGGAATTATCAAACGGGAACAAGAGGAGACTTCTGTTTTTTAAGAAGGGGCAGTTAGACAGCATCATAAATCTAATCAAGTGGGGCCATTTGCAAGCGCTGAAACCTGGTGTAGAACATCAGCACAACTGTTGACCTGGAACTTAGACCCATTAGGAAGCTATACATAATTATCTGTCATCTGAGCTGCTGCCAGGTTCCTCTCTGCTTTTATTTTAAGAGAAACAAGTATATGGTAATAATACAATGCAAAAGTGCTCCTATGTGTGGTGCACATTTGCATTTGAAAATATTTATTTTTTGTAATATTTCAGCTGATTACAAAGTGAAACATGTTTGCCTTCTACTACACATTTATGCCATTAATTGGGATCTTAATTGGTGAATTTTTTGTTGCAAACTTGCTTGACACAAATGCAATGAAGTCAAAACGGATGCTTTTCAGTGATGGTGCTATATGTTGAAATTCCTTTTTACTAATACTCAGATTGCATTTAAAAGCAATGTCCAGATGCCCAGCTACCTCCTTTTGGGCTTGGGAATCAGATGTATCATAGATTGCCTTATGTTATTGCAGCACCTCCAGGGATGCGATTGAATGGTTTTCTGAGGAGGTGTTTGTGTTTTGTGTCAGGCATGTCAACTGACTGGTACCCCAACCTGGACTGGCTGAAAGAGAGCTGCCGCATTGCCACCAGCTACAACTGGGCTGACGTAGACCTCTCCCCATTTCAAGGTAACACGCACAATGCTAAGAGCTCCGGTTTCATCGCTGTGATCATCTGAGATGAAGACAGATAACGCTGTCTGCCGCAGATAGCGGAGAAAGCAGATTAAATGCATCCCGCTGATCAGTTCCTTTGATTAAGCCGTCGTGATTTCTCTCTGTGCTTTCATATACGCTCACCCATGAGGCATAATATCATAATACTTAGTACTGTAATGGTACTAATAAAAGTCATTATCCAGCATCAGAGAGGTTGTCACTTCGTTTCTCTGTCTCTCGCACACATACACGGGCTGTCTCACACCCTCCCGACGGTATGATACGAATAATCCAATTAGGTCCCGGCTCAGTAACAGCCTGTTATCACGGTCAGCGCACAGAGCTGACAACATCCGCACACGATTGATGAAGTAAAACTGGTCCTATAGCACATAGGCTGCTTCTGGCTCTCTGTCTCTCTTCAAAGCTTGACCTCTCTCACAACGCCGTAACAACCCCCCTCCCCATCTTTTCTGGCTTGATCTGAAAAGCATGGACAGATTCTCTCGTCTCGGTCGCCACCAAACGCGAGGCTTATAGGCTTGATAAGGGGATATTATCAAACTGTGCTTTCTTGGCTGTGTTTATTTAAAAAAAATACAGAATTCTTTGGAAATAAATACAAACAGGATGTTTTAGCGTTTTGTTTGCCGTGATGTGGCTGGTACATGTAGACAGGCAGGATTTCAGGGAAGCTCAGTGTTGTAATCCAACAGCTGGCAGTAAAACCTTGGTTGGATTCTTTCACAGTAACTGCAGGATGATACGTGATTGGTCATTTTTAATTTGTCTTACTGATGCTTTTCTGTCTGCTCTAAAAGATTTTACCATTACCATTCCAAATCCAAGCTTTAGATCAACACTAGGTCTGCTTTATGAGTATATGTAATCTGAGATATTGCCTTCTTTTTTTGTTTATCTGTGAGATGGCCATCCAGCTTTGATTTTTTTTTCCAGATGAATTTTTGGTAAATTCAGCTGACTTAACGTTATTTGGAAAAAGTAAGGCACACACCAGTGTATCTAAAGAAAAAAGGCAGAATTTCTGGTGCATCAAAGATTCACCAAAGTGCAGTAAACTCCATAAATCTTACATGTACAATATTGGGAAAAACCAGGTTCCATCAACACTGTAAATGCGCAGCAGAGTGGTGTTTGAGAGAGGTGGGCAGGAACGGCAGGGTTAGTCTGGTAAGCTTCAGACAGCGCCTGTGAAAATGGGAGAACCATCACTGATGCACTCCACCAGCCTGGGCTTTATTTGCAGTAGCCTCTCAGCAGTGAAAGAAGCATGAAAGCATGCTCAGAATTTTTAGAGAATAACTTACAGTTCTGTCAAAGACTTGCATAGAAGTTTCTTTGGTCGGAGGAAAGCAAATCTGAGACGTGCATTTGAAGGAAACCAAAAACTAGCCTGTGATAGCCTGGTTATGGATGCATAATTCTGCCGGGATGGGTTTTAACAGGAAAAGGCTAAAAACATCTAATCTAACAGGAGGTATCTTTATTCATACTTTCTTATTCTTGGAGTGTGTAACACTTTTTATGACCTTGGAAGAACTGTGACATGTGCAAAAGCATTTGCACATATAATTTTGTCCTAGTTTTATTAATCCATGTTACTGTGTCCTGTACATGTGACCCGTGTCTTTTTTTATCTGTCAGTTGAGTGTAGTGATGCACCGCATCCATATTGCAGCATACTGAGCACATGTTGTTGTACAGTGAGGCACTGTGAAAGTCCATACCTGCGTCTTGTGGCCGTCAGGTCTAAAGGAGAGCATGCGGCAGGCCGAACTCAACAACTGGTCCCTGGACCCCAACCAGATGGCAGACTTGTGCTCCTCCATTAACCAGTTCTTCACAGCCACGGGGGTCATCCCCCCTCAGGGCACTCCCCACCAACAAGCTCAGGTCCAACTCAACGCCGCCCCGTCAGCGCCGCAGCACCCGGCTCAGCCGCACGGAGCTCTGCACCCAAAGCACAGTCTGCACGGCCAACACAACCAACACATCAACACGGGTATGCCCACGTGGAGACGTTTCACAGCACGGCCGCACGAAATTCAACCTCATCTTCAAATTTGATGAGCAACAAATTCAGATTTTTTTTTTCTCTACCCGACTTGAAAGTCTCCAGTCAAAGTATTCTCATGTTAGAATGAGAAGAAGAAAAAAGCAGGAAAAAATCCTGAAGAATCCTGGTAAAGTAGAAATATGCCCGCAACAGTGAGCGTTTAGAGTCGTTCTCAGGGCCATTTCCGCACTTGTTTGCTGTGACAGGGGCCAAAACGCAGTGCCTTGAAGCTAAATGACTGACTCTGCTCTCACTGTGCCATTGTCAGTCCATTACATATTTAGAATGGAAATATTGATGTTGTCAGTTTCCAGACAACTGTAACAAAAATGCGGGCACGGAGGGGATGTTTCCCCAGTGGGGAGTCATCTGAGCGACAGCAGATTCCCGGCGATTTATCTGGCCTAGCATGAGATGGCAGAGAAATTGTGTTTGCTCATGATAACAGCTCATGTTCTGCAAAACAAACGTGTGAAAGTCAGGATACTAATCTGACAGTTAGTCATTGCCCTTTTGTCTGTTCTCCCACAGGGAACATGTACATGGACTCCAGACAGAACATTTCTTCTCTAATGGGTCCACCAGGATATCCTCACATGCCTCCTATGAGCAACACGCCTCCCAACATGACAGGTGACTCCACCGTCAGTCACATAACACATAGCAGGTGGAAATGTAGGCCCATGACAGTTAACTTTTTCTGCTGGTATACGAAAAAGTAACATTTCTAGCCAAAAGCAGGTCAGACTCCTGGAAAAGGGCTTTTGGGTAATCAGTCATCTAAGATGGCTCGAAGATAGAATCTTTGTCGTTTGGGGTTACTGAGTTGCTTCAGGGACTTAGTCACAGGTTCAGCAGAAGGTACTGCATCACACAAGGAAGTCTTTCCAGGTAGTGTAGTGCCATCTGTTGGAAATCTAAAGGTGTACCTTCATGGCAGGATAACTATCTTTACAACTCATAAAAACCCATAAAGATTGCTCCAAACAGGAAAAAACGGTCTACGCAACACTACAAATAAAACCCAGATTGAACCCATTTTGAAATGCTGTGCATTAAAAGAAGCCTTTAATTGTCTAAGTAAACTAGTAAAGGGAGGTCAAAACATTCAGCCTAAACTAGTGAATAAATTAAATTGTTTTTATTTTAAAAAAGTAATGCCAGCTTCCTTTTCCTGAGAACAGGAAAAGGGGATTTTCAGTGATTTGCTTTTCTATCACCTTATAAGTCCTTTTACACTTTGAAGAAAAACAGCCAAAGAAGACAAGCTTTTTTTAAGCTTTTTGTATCTGTAACACTGATTCTTCAGTAGGAGCATTAAAACAAGCTGCACTGGGCAAAATGGCCCACTGAGCACAGCAGGAAGTGGCCATTTTAAGGGCCGCTTTACTTTCTGTGTGTGTCCTTTAACCTCTATGAAATGTGTTTATCAGCAGAGATGACAAATATCGGAGCTAGATGTTCAGTCAATGTTCTCTGGATGTCTAAGAAGGTTTCTCTGTGTTAGTGCATAAAATCCAGATTCAGCAACGTCTAGGTTTTCAGCAAATGTCGGTGTGATGAACACGATCCGTTCATGTTCTCTGATGGAAAAGTACACTGTAAAAATGAAGACACCCGACTTGTATTCAATACAGAAAACATGATCTTTAACACACGTTTTCTGGCAAGACTTGCACCACATCCATCAGTGGCTACCAGGGAGCTTAAAGTCAAATGGACTGTTTTACTGTCCTTATCTGATCTTTAGTAATGCAACACCAGATAGAAACAGGTGTGAAAAAGAAGGCTTTTATGATGTCTTCTTTTTTTTTTGGCTAGAACGCCTGCGAAACCCAAAGATCAAATACTTTTTTTAAACTCTCATTCGGTTTAGTTTTAGAACTGTTGATGTTGACACCAACCAGCAGTACGTAGGATAAGTCTCCAGCTGTTGGGGAAAAAAAGTAGAAAAAAGGAAAATGAATACAGAAAGGGAGGAAAAATGTTGGGTCACAGCTTTTTTTCCCATGAGTTTCAGCGGCCATTCTCACAATGTCTGCGTTCTGTGTGAAAATGGGAGCTGTGTATTTGTTTTTCATAGTACAACGTCCTCAGTAAAGGTTTGCGTGCACACTTGGGTCTTGTGCTCTGACTGATGCCAAGCTGAGGTGGAGTAAAAACATAATCTAACTCAGAAGTGCGGGAGAGCTAGAGCTCTTCTCAACTGTCCAAAGGCCTAAGACTTGGTATGCCCTCTATAGAAGCCAATGAAACAGACAGTCGTGCACAATCCCTGCGAGGGTCAGTTTAGCCACAAATGAGCTCAACATGCAAAGCTTGCGGTCATCAGCTTATTTCCGTAATGCACCAAAACCTGAAAGAGTTTTTTGAAAGTCTCACTGTTCACTTTGCCTGCAGTAGTCCAGAGGTGGGTGTCTTGTGAGCGTCATGAAGCCTCCCCTCTCTCCTCTCTCCCCGCAGCTCATCACAGCCAGCTCAGCCAACAGCACACTCTGCCTCCAGGACACTTTCAGGTGAGGCGCATGCTGGCTGCTGACGACATCCAGGACGATTTCGACTGGGACTCCATTGTGTAATTTGAGCTGTCCGTCAAACGGTTCGAGACTAAGCAATGTACTTGAAACAAAATGGAGCCGCGGAGACGATGTGCAACAATATAAACGTGAGGTATGGAAGTGGCCAACCTGCTCCGTTCACCTGCATGAAGAAACAGACGACAATCCAACAGAAAGTAAAAAAACCTGTTTGTTTTTATTTTATTATTATGTAATCATGCTTGCTTTTTTTCTAATACAAGCAGCTCGTGAGTCTAAAGACAATCATTAGAGAAAAGTCAAAATTGAGCAGACTAATGCTGTGTGGGACGCAGCCCAGATGGAAACACAATGTTTTGTCCTCCGTGCCAACAGGGTTACAAGTCGCCAAAGTGTCGTCAGTTTGTCTGTGAAGTGCTTTCTTTTTTTCTAAAATGTGTTTCCTACTACAGCTTGTGTCCTCTGTCTGCAGAGTTTTCCGAGTTGAACTGAAAGCCACAAACTCCCTGCAGATACTTCCCATTTCCCTTTCACACACACACATTAAGCATTCCAAATATTTCTATTTTTCTTCCTGATGATTTCTTTACTTTTGCTGGGCCTCCCTGTGCTGCTGTGGATCTCAACTACAGTGAGAACGGAGAAAGTGTTGATTTCCTGAGTGGCGACTGGAGCACCATCTGCTGGTCAACACAGGCACAGTTTTGCTTCTTTTTCTGAAAAATGGTACCAATGCACCGATCTTTTCTTGCTCGATCTTGGTTTTCGTTGCAGCAATTTTCTTTTCAGTTTTATTACTTAAATGCCATAACCTTGTGTTTGTACCAGTCCACAGTGTCATGTTCTCAGGGTGGAATGTTCACAAACATCTTTACATCTGTGCCATAGGTATCTCTCTGTACGGTTGAGTGCGTGTTATGTTGTGCTGTCAGTGTTCAGATCCTGTTGGCTAACTGTCATCAAAAGCGAAAAATCTTTATTTGTCAGACCTATAAGCTAAGTCATACAAAATACTGTAGAATAAGCTTTTTCAGCAGCTCCAATAACAGCAACTTGTCAAGAAATAATCAAGACGCAGGCCGGACATTAACATGAGACCTCCGATTTACGAGATATTGTTCAGTTTTCCAAGCTTCTGTAATCTTTGGGGAAAGTGCATATCATTTCTGACCTTACAGAGAAGGTTGGTCACAAATTCAAGATGCCTCATTACGTGGAGAAACAAGCAATTTTTGCACAAGCTGGATAGCATCTAGTTCATGAAAGAATAAAAGAAAAAATTGTGAACTTTTTGTTACTTTGTTTAAAAAAAAGATTAAGGGAGTAAAGACAAAATACTTAACTTGGTTTTGTTCACTGTGATGTTAATTTTGTCCGTGTGTACACGTGTGTGTAGTTGTCTGATTTCCTTAAGAATAAAAAGAAAAGAAAAAAGCAGAACAAACAAAAAAAAACTTTGTTTGTATCAGCACTTTAAGCCCTCATATTTCCCACTGTGAAATATTGGATCTTAAAGTTCTGCTTGAGTTGGAAGAACTCAGTGATTATCCAGATGGTGAAAACAGTCTCATTGTTGAGGATAAAAAACATATTACCATTCAATGCTGTTTTACAGTGACCAGCATACGTATATCTTCTATGTCAGTGTGTTGTTGTCCATGTAAATAACAGTATGTTACTCCTCCTTTTGCTGATGAAAAACAGACTTTAAAAAAAGAAGGGACGCTGCAAATGGAGATGGTATTTTTTGTTATTTGTCCTTCTGAAGATGCATTGTGTACATACTTTCGGTATATTGTAAATAAGTGATTCAAAAGAAGCTGACATTGGCATTTTGTGTGTCATAAATATTCTGTGTATGGCAGTTGAAAGGTTAAAATCTGTTTAAGTGTTTATTAAAATGTCATCGACCATTTTTACTGCGCAAACTCTGCATCTGTTGCCCTTATTTATCAGATTCTTGCATGTGGGTCGCCATTTCATTTCTCATGTAAACACTTTTTTGTGATGCAGGATAAGCCACTAAGTTGGTCATGAATGTAGGTTGCTATTCTTTAGAGAGCAGTTAAAATCTGACACATAAGGTGAAACTACAGTAACTAAAGCGCGTGTGTTTTATTTGCCTCCTCGGCTTTTTGCTGTGTTGCCTCCGGGTTAGCTTGTTGACCAACAGGTGTCAGCCTAGTACCAAGCACTGGTATAATTCCTCTGCTGCACATAATCTCAGGAGACCACTCACTTGTGTTAAAGTCACACTGTGTACTAACTGTATTTATTGCTTGTTTTCACTGATTTTAAAAGCCGTTAACTCTTAATACTGTTTGTCGACCGCATTCGTCATGCCACTTTTCTTTGGGAGGATGAATGAGTAATGCAGCCGCTTTGCAGCTGCCGGTTTCAGTCACCGATGGCTTTTATAAACAGTCAGGCACTGTTACAGGATACAAACATAAAGTAAAGCTCGGCTGCAGACCCTCCAACCAGCTTTAAACTTTGGCATGACAGATAATTTGAGACAATATTCTGTTTTCTTCTAATGTTTCATAAAGAATTTCCCAAACTTTTTCAAAAATAGTTTCTAACTGTGGCCAGTTTCATATGGAAATTCAAAGTAATTCTGAGTAATCAACTTTCTACTAGTGTGTGAATGCTGCTGGTAATGCAGGGTTTGGTGGCCTAACCACGTACACCAAGAGGAGAACGGGGTTGGACCGCATGGGCTGAAACCACCTTGCTGCTCCTATCCACAAGAGCCTCCGTCCCAGCCCAACCTGCTCCCCACTCCCCAGTCGGCCCAGCCCACCACGACCAGCCCCCCCCCCTTCAGTCACTCAAACGCACCCTCTTTTCTCTCTCTTACTGTGTGCCATTCCCTCCCTTTCCGTACACTTCCTCAAAGTAGCCAGAGCTCCTCTCTTTTCTCTTGTCCACATCCTTCCAGCACCCCTTTTCATTGCTCAGCCTCGTCCATCCTCACCCCACCAACTTTCTCGGCTCTTCACTTCCGCTTTTTTTCCCCCCCCAAAACTTTGTCTGAAGACTTTAGTTTTTGTTCTTGACCTTTACTGGGCGCCTCTTTCACTCCCCTCACGTGTGTGTGTGTATGTGTGTGTGTGTGTGTGTGTGAGTGAGTGAGAGGTCTCTGGTGTCGCGCTCTTCTGCCTGAGGGAGTCCTAAAACTTTTTGACAGGAGCGAAGATTGGAGAAGACTTTTCATCACCATGAAAGTTCAGCTGCTATTCCTGCTGGCCCTGGTTGCCCCGTTCTGTGCCTTCACACGTGCAAGTAAGTGCAGTTTTTATCACTGTCCTGCTGTTAGCACAATGTGTCCCCCTCTCTACCTCCATGTGCCCTTACACCACTCTTTGTCTAGTCTAATCCCGACTGATTGAACAAAGGAAGTGTGGAGGGTGTATTCCAAATGGAGGCAAAACAGGCCGACTTTTTTTTATCTTTGTCCAAAGATGTGTCCATATGATTTGTCTTTCTGATTAAATGTTTTAAACAACTGTAACTAAAAACCATTCAAAAGTGTATTGGGCTGCTATTGGGTGGAGTTTAACCCTCATATTCTACTTCAGATGAAAACAATTGATGCAATAACTGAAATTGAAGGAAACATTTTTAAAGAAGAAAACATTTAAAATGATATTCAGTGCTGATCACTTCTTTCTTAAAAACAAACACACACTTGTTTTCACACAGTTCTAGACAGGAGTAAAAACCTCATCGGTGACCATGAGGGAAAAATATGATGTAATAGAAGGAGCTCTGCTGCCTCGTGTCTGTAAACTTTTGGCACGGCTAAAGAGAAGAAAGGAATATCCTTTGGAAGCCTCCCAACAGAGAGCTCATACGCAGGAAGGGAGGGGAGGGGGTGTGTGTGGTGGCTGTAAACTGTAATGTACACCATGCACATTTATCCAGAAGGCTATCATCTGCTCCCTCGCATTTTAAACCGACTCCTCTCCTTCTGTGACTTTTTATCTTCGTCCTTCGTCTCTATCCCATAGAAATGTTTTCCCTCCCCGTGATCTTACCAGCTCCGTTTGCCCAGAGGAAGTAGCCGGTACAGGCTAAGGGGAGGGTGGGTATCTGGGTGTGTGGATGAGGCCAGACAGAACTGTAGGGCAGGGCTGTATGGGTTTGCGCGTGTGTATTAATAGTGAAAGGCTCTATATTTAAGAGGGTCATACGGATGAGAGAGAAGCAAGAGACACTGAGAGTTCTAAGAGGTGCCCCACCCTTTCCCGCATGTTGTTAAAGTGTGCAGCGTGTCACCCCTTGGCGTTTACCCATCTTTGGAGGGGTGTCAAGCTTTCTCACTTAAAATCCCCCTCTCCTGCCTCTCGCCGCGTCACTAAAGAGCCCTCTGCCTTTCTCTTGCTATCTGCCCCCTTCTTCCTCTGTTGAAACGCGATTAGTCTAACGGTTTAACGGCCTAACGGGGGTGGGGGTTGTGGGGGGGGGGTGTCTATTTTTGAACAGTGTATACTTACACACATGGCTCCGCCATTTTTGTCGATATTGACTTGAAAAAAGAAAGTACAGCACTTCAAGTCTTAGAAGGACTGTAAATCCTGCCATCAAACAATTAACAATTGAGAATTTATAAAAGGCTCCCTCATCTTATGGCTTTGAACTTCCTCTCATTTGTGTACTTAACCAGCACATTGTATGAATCCTGAGAAAAGCCCTTGCTCCTACCACTACCCCCTCCCCCCTCCCCCCTCTGCCCACCACACCCTGGTTTCCCTCTTAATGAGTTTTGTCTGCCTTGCTTGGCCAATAACATCCCCATCACATCTGGCCGCTGAAGGAGGAGGTCAGTGCCCTTTGTCCATGCCCACTCTTAGAAATTACTCACATGTTTTGCTCATATTCCAAATATGCGCATGCCAGTAAAAAGGGAACGCGGGGAACAACTTCTTCTCACGTCTCATTTTCAGGAGGGGGAAAAAAAAAAAGAAAAAAAAAGCGCACAGTCATACTTCCAAAAATTTCCGCTAGCAGAAAGGAACATCTGTCTCAGGGAAAGTAGATGACTGTTTTAGTTCCAAAGACGTGAGACTTGAGCTGTCTCTGTCATACATGAGAGGGACTTCAAGAACAGTGTTAGAACCAGGGCCGTAATTTGTCAGTTGCCATTGTCTTGGGCCCTTTTTTGTGAGTAACAACGCAAATGTGTCATACCGGTAGCACCTATTCGAGTTTCAAGGTGAGACATGGCTTGGAAGAAAATCTAAAAAAGTAGAGCTGCTGGCAAAAGAACACTTACACAACTTGGTGGATGTTTCATGGCGTGGGAGTTAAAGGACACCTAGATTAGAAATACATAAATGGGCAGGCTTGATGATATTGTGGCAGGCAGTGCTCGTGCTTTTATCTGCTTTCTGTAGTCGATTGGAATGAAAAGAAGATAACAGTAAAGCAGGGGCAGATGACGGTAGTTCTGTGTAGTCATCCCTGTTCTGATTCATTACATTGCCAGTATGTGATCAGAGCAGTAAGGCCTGAGAACGAGCACCCACTTGATCCGGTGCCAGTTCCTGCCCCTGTTGATGGAGTCCAGATGGAACCTGGTCCATGGCAACATTATCAAAACCAGAAGGAGAAAAACATCAGCTCCCCTTATGAGCGTAGACACCCATTGTTCAGCCTTTGCGATAAGGCTGGCTGAGACTATTCCACCCTAGACACTATCTTATTTTAAATCCCCTGTGAGCACTGCATCCCACAGCCGTGTATCTTTAAGGATGACTCTGGTTCAGCGGGGGAGGCCATGCGATATGGCCGCTCATGTTCGTGCTTTGAGATGCTCAGAGTGCCTGTATTCCTCTAATTTCCCTCCTTCAGCGTCATGAAAACATTCCCGAGCTCCTAAGGTAGACACGTCGTTTCTTCCTCCCACATGAGACTGTGGATTATCACTCACAAACACTCACACACACACATACACACACACACAGAGGCTCCTAGCAGCTGATGTTGATCATATTGGGAGGATTGGAGCGGTGACTCCCTCCTTTCCTGTTTCACACTGTATTTTTTGTGTACCTCCCTGACTCCCTCATTTTCTGTAGAGGTATTATTTATGTCAGGCAGGAGAGAAGCCCCAGGGGGGTGCCTTCGTGTCTCTCACAGCTTTTTGCTGTATTCCTTTACCACCTCTCACTTTTCACTTAGCCCTTTGCCTGCCTGCATGTTTCTTATTTAGCCGTTCCTATCCTATTTATCTCCATTAGTAAATGCCTTTTCAGGTAAATTATAATACTAGAGTAATTACTGGTCAAACATTTTTGTGCTCCAATTGCATTTAAACTGCTTTTAATACTTATTTTGACTTCTTTTCATTTCATTTTAAGTAATGCCTGATATATGTTTACGCTTGCCTGTGACTAAATTAACTAAAATAACTAAATAACTAAAATAACTAGTGCTATGTGCGAACAATTCAGGCAGGTTATGGCATATTTGATATTGAAATGGAAGTGAATGTGTGTGGTCAAGGGGATGTAATCATGGCTCAAATGGCTGTACCGCCTACAATTCGAAAACACCTCTCATAAAAAAAAGAAACGCTGCAATGACGCACTTCTTAGGTTTAATTCTTTCCTCTTGATTTCAACTGCTTTATGGATGCATTGCTGCTAAGCCTGCACTTTCTGCAGTCTGTTAGTCCCAAATGTGTTTGCACAAGTCCTTAGCCAGCCATGGGGACCCAGTTCTTGGCCTTAGACTCTGCCCTGAATCCCCAGAGGATTAGAGACGCACATACACATCTCGTTTTCCTTTGGGGTTGAGATGGACCTTGGTCTCTTGGAAGTCAAGAAAAAGAGGCAGCGCCCCAGTCTCTCAGTTTCAAATAGCACTGAACTCTTAGAGCTTCCCTCGATCCCTTTTGGGATTCGGTCTCCTCAAAGGTTTACGCACCAACAAACGTTTCCCCAGGGAGTGGCAGAGTCATGGAGAGGAAACCGGTCAAATGTAAATTAAAAGGAAAAGAGAAAGAGAAAGGATTTAGGCCATAACACTGTTACTCACTAATGCAGCTGTTTTAACTAAGGAGGGTTAGCTCTGTGGGAAGGAAATACTACTCTGAGCTAATTGTGGGAACTGTACATATAATGAAACGATTGTTAAAGGAGGTTAAGGGGGTGATTACACATAGTGTGCAGCCATACTCTGTGAAGCGCATACTATTTTATCATCGCTTACAGACGTTCCAAACAAACAGTCTGAAAACCCCCCTCAGTACCCGGCCACAAAGAGAACAAATGTTTTGTTATATTTACTCCGCCTGTTGCTAATGAACACAGGCCATTCAGAGTTATTTTTGCCCTTGTAAAGCATTCTGTATTATTTCAAGTATTTAGGAGAAAGGGATAAAACGGAGATGGTAAGGGCATGATGTCAGCAGCTAAGTTTAGAAGACCCTCTTCCTGCTCTACAGAAAGAAGTTTTTGAGAGATGAGTTGATTTTACTTTTCCAAAGAGTGATTTTAGGCCAACTTTTTGTCAGTGGAAAGTTGATTACACACTGTAATTTTGGTGCCACGCTAAAGTCTGCCTCCTTAATTTTAAAGGAGTGTTGTCCAGGCTAAACTTTCAGTTGTGGCTGGTAGGATGTTGAACATGGGAAGACAGAGAGAGGGTTATTAGAGGGAAATGATTAGGTTGCATTTGGGTTACTTCATAGTCCAGACTTTGATGAAAGCCACTAAGAGACGTCCTCATACATCCTGGATGAAAATGCAAGCCTCCATTTTACTTCAAGTACTTCAAGTTGCGACATAATGACTTTAAAAAAGCTTGTAGTTTTTTTTGTGAAATAGCAAAAAGACGTAAAAAAGCTCACACATCCAGGTTTTGTCCCTGCAGTTCCAAATTCCAACAACTGACATCACTAAGTGGCTGAGAATAAGCAAACCCTCCGCTGCTCCCATTTCACAGCAGCTCTTTTTTCACAGGAAATTAGGCACAGGATGTGGTATTCCAGTGCACAAATACTCAAACCTAAAGACAGGATGGGGGGGTGGGGGGTTGGAGTAAGGATGTACGTTTTGGTAAGTCATTGGGTGGGGTGCACATGCTTGTATGGTGATTGTGCGCTGATGATGCTAGGATTGTTGTGAGTGTGAAAACCCTCTGTGGCTCCCATGTTGAGAAGCTGGGAACTTCTCTGTCTGTTCCAGCTTTTATTCAGTCGCCTGCCATTGTGTCAAAACTAAAGAGAGGAGCAGAACAACAAAAAAAACGCAGCTTGAATGGGTTGCCACTTCTTTGATCATTTGAAATGTATTTCCTTTTTGTATTGTGAAGTCTGCAGAGCCAAATATAAGCTGACATATATAAGCTCAGTCAGGCTGATAATGCTAACTAATTATCTTGTGAGAAGACCAACGACAGCACTGAGGAGCAAAAACTCCATGAAAGAACAACTGTTTTTTATCTCAGCGTCTTTTTCAGAGCGAGAATATTAAAGGAAAAACTGCGTTTACCAGCATTGGCATTAAACCTGCTTTGCGATCTGTCTTGTCCTTGCTGTCTCCAGGCCCCACGGCACTCCCTGTTGAAGATGGGGCAGATGCAGAAATCTCCCATACAGCTGCTGCAGCTTCAGAAGATGTCGTTTTCACTGGTCCTCCCCCTACCGAACCTGAAGCGGTCCCTGCAGTTGTGGATCCGACAAATCCGCCGCCTGTCGCCAGTGAAGCTCCTGTAACCGACGCAGAGGCTGTTGTCACCCCTGCCGCGGAGGCTGAGGTTCCTGCTGTGGACACAGAAGCACCAGCTGTGGAGACCGATGCTCCCTCTGTGGAGGAAGCAGCGGCGGTGGAGACGACGGCTCCTTCTGCGGAGGGAGAAGCAGCGGTTGAGGCTACAGCTCCGTCTGTTGAGGCTACGGAACCAGCTGGAGCCACCGTTCTTCCTGTGGAGGCTGCAGCTGAGACTGCAGGGCCCGCCGTGGAGGCTGCAGCACCCACTGATCCCGAGCCTGAGACTGAGGTACCGGCTGAATCAGGGGCTGAGGAGACGGGGGACAAATCAGGACTGACTATTGAAGATGGCACGGACGGTGAGATATGAGTGTGCTATGTGCGAACAAGTGTTCATTTTGGGTTCAGTTAACACCAGAGCATACAAAGCAGTACTGCAAAGATTAGTCAGACCAGTACAGTTGTATTTTTTAACATAATGGTGCTCAAGTAATGTTAAAAAATAAGTATTAGTATCAAAGCAATGTTTTAAAAAAAAAGATATTTAAGTCTATAAATTGATTCAATCATTCAGAGGGCCTGAGCTCCGGTCAGATAATCGGCATTGTGATTGGCGCCCTGTTGGCGGTGGTTATCGTCGGCGCCATAGTGATTGCAGTGGTGAGAAGGATGGGCAAATACTCGTAAGTATCAATCCTTTTCTGACTGTGCTTTTAGTTTTTAGATGAATGTAATTTTGTTGTTTGTTTTCTGTGATGAAATGACTTCTGATGCTGGGCACTAGCAATGCTCCTTTTAAATATAGTTTCGAGGTCACACCCTCCACTCTGAGAATACGATGACATAATGATAATGGTGAATGTTTTTTGTGTCCCAGGTCTCCCAAGAGCAAAAAACCTGCCAAAAAAGACAGCGTTGTGGTTTCTGTAAATTTCTCAGTTCTATACTTTAATCTAATTGTTTTAACCCCTTGCCCACCCTTTTATAGACGTCTAACAGATGTCCCCTACCCCCAAAACCCTACTGACTAAGCCCAGTGGTTGTTGCTCCATTTAATGACAGTCCCGTGTTTAGGAGAGGACAATTAGGCATTCATGGCGACAAGTGCCTCTCTTTGGCCTCAGAATTACTTTGTTTATTGACTCTGTATTAGTCTAGGTGGCTACTGCTTATCAGATGAGCTGGTTTCATATGAACAGCTTGGCCTGATCCCTGGAAAAGTAGAGTTTATCTTTGTTGGAAGAGGGGCTACAAACCACAATCAGCAGGCTCTGTATTTTTATTACAGTAACTAAGACTTTCCGTAGTTTTTGGTGCATTAAAAACTATTACATTTAATCTTCCTTTATTGTTGAGCAACACTAAAAAAAAGGAACATTTAACCTTAAAGCTTACATGAACCTTCCATTTTCTGTTTTTGTGACTGGTCCAACATGTTTAATCTATTTGTTAAATCTTTAAGGACAGGCATTTTTAGCACCCTTTTTTAATCATCCACAGTAAATAACATAAGTCCACCGATTACTTATATTTTGATCACGTAACACAAACTACATTCTCTTCTGTAAAAACAACTGATAGCTGTTTGTTTTTCCCTCTCAGCCCCTGAGGAAGAAGGCGACCAAGCAGCAGGAACGTGCAAAGTTCTGGAAATTCTGAACTACTGAACTATGACATCAGTTTTCATCATTAAAAACAAGCACGATACCAGAACTTAACTAATCTAACCAGGACTTCGAGCTGATGTCAAACAAAGAGGAGATTTGTGTGTGTTAATGTATATACTGCATGTACTGTATTGTATGTGAGACAAGAGGGGTTAATGAGCCAACATCCTCACGCCCCCTGCTATCTCCCTGATAACAGAGGAGCTGCTGACATTAAAGAATATTTCTTCCCTTACTCCCTTGAAGAGAACACAACAAGGCGAAAGCAGGATGTCACAGAGACCTTTGGTCTTCTCAAGTGCATTTTGTTGAATAATGAGTGACGCAGTAGAATATCTGACATCGTGGGAAAAATTCCTCCCCGTTAAAATGATGAAGTGACTGATGTTAATGTTTAAGTCAGAGGATAAAAAAGCACATTAATAGGAAATACTGACAAAGCAAAAAAGTATCAGATGCACAGGAAGGGTGGGGTTGGAAAACAGGAAGTACGGTTCTAAATTCCATAGGACGTTTATATATACACCGCATGGACTCTACATAGTATACATCTAAAGGCTTTTTCCATTTCTGGCAGTTGCATAGGCTCGCGTTTGATATTATGGAATGCATAGTGTGTACAGGCAACCGTAGGCTTTTGTTGTAGGTTATACATCCCTGAGCACCAGTTGAATGACTTTCTCATGAGGCCAGAACACCTGACATGTCGACCAACTGTATGAAGCACAGTGTGCAGAAGTTGTCCCGACAACCCTCACACTCTCTTAGGGGCTAAAAGAAAAGAAAAGGCACTCTCGCTTGCAATAGTGACGTGACATTCTGCCAACCTTAACACTGACATAGAAACACCTAATACATATCTGTGAAATTTAGCAGGGTTTGTGCCACTGTCCCTGGTATTCTCTTGCTAGCTAGGAGGATTTAAAGTTTTGAAGTTCATTATTAATGGGACTTGACTGTACTTTTTTAACCACCACCCATTCCACAAAAACAAACTCTTTAATGACCTTTTTTGCTTTTTCACAAGCAGCGGTTGTTGAAATAATAGCATTTTTCGTGAAAACCTTTTCCTAGTTCTTCTGTTAATTGCTACCAAATCAGCCATCAGGTCCTTAACCCCATATTGCACACACAAGATTACATTTTATACTGCCCGTAGTTTAGTTAAAAGTGCTTTTTTTATTTTTAAGCGTGCTAAATGGGTGTACAAATGATGAAGTTTCTGCTTACCCCTGCTTGCCATGTATTTAATATGTGCACTGAATGAGTGGTGTAATGTTTAATGATTTGGCTTTAGACACAGCAAATGTTTGCAACGATATACTCATTTCCTCCCCTCTGCTTTGCCACATGATTTTTCTTGTAGGTCTTTAATTTGTGCCATTTGATTCATTCAAACCTTTTATTTAATTGCAGTGTTTTTGTTAATATTGTTTCAATAAAAAAAAATTAAAATATGAAAAACCTCCCAAATGTGTTTCCAAAGAGCTCCTTTTTTCCCTTTTCCGTTAAACGATGCAGTTTCCATGGAAACGGTTTAAAGTGAGCACATTGTTGACCAGCACTGTACTCCCTCTTGTATACTTGTGACCGTTACAGTCTCATGACACTTATTTTCTATTTCCAAGAGTAGCGTACAAACATTATTAACAAGTTGCCGGGGGCTGCATCCTGCTTCCCCCCTCTGATTGGCTAATTCAAGTTATGCTTCAGTTTGAAAAAAAATAAAAAAACTTTTCAAATAGACAAACATCACCAAATATGGAGCCCCATATGGCCCACAGCGGGTGAGCTGGTTGAGCCCCCCTGACAGTTAGGTGTGTTTTTTGTGTCATGTTGTGGAGTTTTTTTCATACTGTGCTGTTAAGCTGGGGCAAAGCTCCAACAGTAGGTTGCGAGTCGCACAGAGATGCTCTGTGTCAGGCTCCCTATCCCCGGTGTGGTTTTAGGCAGCGGCCCAACACCCACCACGCCAGCCTCTGCCCCACCAGCGAGCTTCATAACTCCATTTAGCGCTCTCTCTCGCCTCAGACTCCTGGAAACAATGGAGTCTTTTGAGAGGGGCAAATGGAGAGGCTATGGGCTGCAGCTCACTCTCTTTCCTTCAGCAAGGGGGAATTCTGTGCATCGCTACAGGGTGGAGTCACTTCCTGGGTGGGCCCGGCATCCATCATGTGTTCTTACAGACACACACCATAGGAATACTTCACGGAGAGCCAAATCATTAGCTGTTTCGTATGTAACTTATTTCAACAGCCAAGCAGAAGCTAAATGTCTCCCCAAAGCCACTTATTAAGACACAGAGTGTGATTTACTGAGAGTCAAGCCACAGGGCCTCAACAGCACATATAAAGGAATGCATGTCATCTTTAATACCAGACTCCCAACATTTGCCTGTTTACATGAAGTTATTCAGTTTGTCACGACAGAAGATTTCCTTCTTCTTTTCTGGATTCATCTCAAGTTGACTGAAAAACAGCCAAAGAGGAAAAAAGACACCAATCAGCACAAACAGACATTTAGATGAAAGCAGACCGTTTATGCTCAATTCCACAATGGGGAGAATAATCATTTTATTGGGTTGAATAAACCACAAAAAACAAAAAAACAAACAGCTGTTGGTGCCCACTCAGCACAAATGGACCCCGAATGTACAAAGAAGGCACAGATTGTGTAACAATAGAGGATGATGATTAACACCAGGCATCTGGTTCATTTTTTTGTTGTTGTTTTTCCTCAATTTGGCCTAAATCCTTGGTGTCAAAAAATCCACCTCAAAAGTTGACATTGATACTTTGAGAAAGTCATTTACATGGCAGTTTTGATTAAATCCTGACTTACTGTCTTTGAATAATCTAACTATTTCAAGTTATTTTTTAAATAAGTGCTCTTTGTGAATTGAATAACAGTAAAAAGGCATGGGGGACGGGAGTAAAAAAGGCTACAAAACAAAAGAGAAAGAAAATGGAAAACTTCCCATGTTTATGTTCTGTGATGAAAACAATGATCAGAAAAGAGTTCAGCACACACTGAACTCCTGTTTGAGGAAATACTGAAGTTTTTTAACAACTATCTGATGTATAAATGTAGAGGAGCCAAAAAGCAAAATAAAAACCAAACTCACACATGTCACTTTTTAAAAATAAGCTTATAGAAAATGTTTACAATATATGTAACAGTGTTTCTAGAGGGAGCGGGAGTTGGAAAACAGAAAAACTCCTCCTAATAATTGGTGATGAAAGCCACACATATGATATGTGGCCAGTGTGACGTTCATCTGTTTTGTTGACTGCAGTAAAGTATCAGGCTCAATCGTGTCATGTTTCACGATGGCGATTCGTAGCCATCAGCAATAAAGAACTGCCAATTCACCATTGCTGCACGTCTGTTTCCATGGGCCGGAGCTGGGAATGTCAGGGAGAACACACACAACACAGAGAGCTACATGGGCAGGCCTCAGAGGGGCAGAAACAGCCTGAGACCACATCCCCGGTGCAGTTCTAATATCTGGAACATGACTATTCGTAAATGTTGGCCGAAAACAATCCTTTCGACATGTGCAAACACTAACGAAGTATGGCGTGAAATCGGTGGCACACATATCTCCACATATGTCTGAGAAGGTCTGCACCCGTTCCACAGCTCTCATCTTCCAGAGCTGGCGTAAACACCCTCCTGTGGTGAGAGGATAGGTGATAGCTCAGCCACACTGTCCTTCTGCCCGTGTGCATAGATAGCCTTCTGGAGTTTGTGATGTCATAAAGAAAATGTCAACCCGGAGCTTTGAGTGCCACAGGCAGCTGGGCCCCCCGAGGGTGGACACGTCCTGGAGAAGGTGAGGGAATGGTGGCAGGGTGGCAGTTTTTTTCAGATGAATGGGGTTACCTTAGTTTGCTTGTGTATTGTTCTGGAGAGATGGAGAGAGTTTGTGCGTGTTATCAGGGTCATCTCGGTATGTGTGTGTGTGTTCCGCAGGGAGCCGTAGTCGTACCATTTCTGAGCGCACGTGTGTGTGTTTGTTGGACTGTAGGCGATGGTTTGCATGCATGTGCTGTTGGTAGAGGACGGCCTCAGATGCGTGTGCCCATGTGCAGTATCATGCTTTTTTCCGAGTACAGTTTGTGCTTGTGTTCCTACATGTTCGCATTTACATATTCTTCCCAGCACATCTGGCGTCCGCAACACAAAGCAATAAATTTGTATTTGCTCCAAGTGACATAACATGTTGTCAGATCACAGTCAAGTCTTTGTCTGTGCTGTGTGGCACACATTTTCTGTAAGAGACCCTTATTGTTTCATACCAAAGTCCTGCTCAGTGATCTGTCTGATAGACGGACACCTCTCTCTCATTCTGTCTTTGTCTCTCTGGCTCTGTATGTTCACATGGATGGAGAATGTTTCATTGTGCATGGGCTCACTGGCACGAATCGGTGCCCACTGCCACAGGATATGCAGAGAAGCATCTGGGACATAATATCTCACAATCACTCTGCTTCCTGCTGGATTTTATTGTTAACCTCAAGAAAATGACTAACAGTTAGATCTTTTTACTTCCAAAAAATCAAATAAGGTGTCCCCTTTTCTAAAACAGTTGAATACATGTATGTATATACAATCCTCTTCTTCTTTTAAAAACTTTTAAAACATCTGAGAACAGAGGAAACCGGCTGCTGGCCTATCAGGAAAGGAATGTTTTCTCATTCTTGTAAAATACAGGATGAATCTGGCTGACCTACAGTCAACTTATCTGTCATATTTTGAGTTTCATGTGCCAATTGTTTCAATTAGTAAAAGATCAGAACCGCAAGCTGGCGAGTAGGAGTTTTGAAATCTATAATTTTTGATTTAGTGTTGCCTTGCTAAGCATGTACAAGGCCTTCTTTGACAGGAAATTGAATGAACATTGCAACATTGATGATGCACAAGATACCGATTCCACTGGCACATTAACATAAATGCACCACAGAAATACACACCAGTGAAGTTTTTCTTCCTGTTTTTACATACGAAAGTTGATTACAAATTGAATGATGCCTCTATACCGTAGTCCCCTGTGGACTAACTGCAAAGCTATTCTGTATGATGTTCGCATTTGGTTTTGTTTACATGAGAGAGTTGTGACCAATCAAAGTCTTTTTAAGTGTTTCTAACTGCCCAGGGTTGAAGAAGAAGCTCCTTGTTGTGAGAGGTTGGTGTAAACCACCATCTAAGCATGCGGCCCACCTTTGATCCGAGTCCTCACATGCAGAGATATCTCCAGATTCTCTGAACTATTTGATGACAGTGTGTTTTGTAAATGATGGGTAACTGAACTTGAGGAGCATTATTCTGGGCTGCATGGTGGTGTTCTTGTTTCAAATCTCAGCAGGGGGTCTTTCTGTGTCGAGTTTACATGTTTGCCTTGTACATGTTTGCATATATGTGGGGTATCTCTGGATGCTTTGTCATCCTCTTGCCACCCAAAAATATGCATGTTAGGAGTGAGTGTGCATTACTATGTGTATTTTGTTTCTCCATGATGGACTGGTGATACCAACTTTTTTAAAAAAGATGTCTTTCTTCTTTCTCATTTATGATATAGAATTTACACCTCATCCCATCTTTTTTGGAACTGGGTCATATATGAAGAATGCTATTTCTCAGTGTAAGGTTTATTTTGAACACATTGTACCCACAATGTAAACCTAATGTAATGCACATGCATCTATGAATGACCTGCAGAAATAGATATTGAATTGGAAACACACACGTACTTGTGAAAACATCATAACACCAGTACGTGGAAATGTTTTGTTCAGTTAAGGCTGACACGATCACAAACAAGTGTGTTTTCTCTTTACAAAGCATGCCTATCAGACACACTAGGTTTGTGTAAAATCTGCTATAGTGTGCAATAATTCAGCTCTTCAGCTAACTGTTAAGTCCTAAAATGTAGGACTGAGTTTTTACACCTTTATGCCTTTCTTTCGCTCAAAGACTAGGAATTTTGTTTCCAAGTTCATGAGCACATGCAGTATCCTGTAGTGTACCTGTTGAACTTAAACTTGGCCATGTGACAAGTAAGCAACTCTGTCCCAAGCAGATGATGTTTCTCCCCTGATTAACTTCTCAGAAGTCACACAGGAGCAAATGCATAAACGTGACATGTCACCGTAGCTTTAAACAAATTATCGACATGTTTTTTTGAAAATCAAAAACATGAAAAGATAGAAAAATGTGCAGCTTTTTGCTAGGTGCAGCCGAAATGAAAGTAGCTTCTTCTCGGTAAATAATGCTGTGGGACACTTTTCACTTCACATGCTGCACTTGTTTAATTTGTCCAGTCTTTGCATAGCTTTTTTCTACAACTTCAGCTCATACTAATGTATCAGGTGGCTCTCAAGTGATCAGCAGCTACTTATAGAATGACTTGACATGAAAAGTAAAATAAGTTTTCAAACTTCTCACTGTAATTTCACAGCTGAAATTTTCCAGCAGCTTTGAAAGACACGTTTGAACCCTGAACATGTCCTGAGTGATTCTCTGAGGCATACCATAAATAAACAGTCATATTCAACTTGCCTCTACATTAACCATACAATAAAAAAACAACATTAGATTAATTTTACAATAACTCTAAATAATTCAGTTGAACTACAGGAATCCAACACACCATACTATACAAGCACCACAACTGCAAGGAGTATGAGCATGACTAAAATATGGAGAAGGAAAAGAGCTGGAATAGAGGGGGTAAGGCAAGTTATTTATGATCTTTCATTATGGCTCGCAAAGGTCTGGCATGTGGTGTCACAGTGAAACCCCACTCGGCCCACATACAACATTACAACAAGAGACATGCCATGCATGTGCCATGAGAACACCACCCATGTGCTGCAGGCTGTAGCAGATGCACATGTGAGGTCCAGAGAACTCCTACAGGTTGGAAATAATGCAATGCGAAGCCAGATGGCCGCTTTCTGTCAGTGTAGGTGTGAGATTTATATGAGCCAGAGCCTTGTGATTCAATTGACAATTGTTGAAGAAAACAGAGAAGTGCTCAGGAGTGGAAAACACATTCGCGTGCGCATCATTAGTGGTCAACATAGCACAATGTGGCTTCTGTTTGTTAAACAGCTGGGAAAAACGAAAAGATAACAGTAATTAAAAAGTGTTTAATGCAATCCGTCAGAGTCTGACATTGAGCTTTTTTCACCTCACAATAAACTTTTAACTTACAGTTTTCAGAATCAAATGGAGTTGAGTGAAATGTACAGTTATAGAGTTGTCTTCATGTCATCTCTTTTCTCACAAATCATTAAGACTTGTATTGTTATATTGTGGCCTGTATGTATTTATTATGTTCATACCCATATGCATAACTAATGTGGAAAATGATGTTACAGTGAGAAGTGCAGGAGCAAACTGAGGCGGCGCCACTATCAAAGTGAAGTCTTTTACTGTGCCTCCCTCTAGAGGTCAAGATAAATAAACACCCTTAATTACAGGCATGTTTCTTTAACCAGCAGACCACTTGTGCTGATCAATCAAACAATATATGTGTAACATATACAAATTGCAAGAACATTCAATAACAGAATACATGTTCTAATCTCTATATATCTTATACATTTATTTATTTCAGATGAGGGGAGGGGTCTGAAAAGGAAATATTTTTAATTTTTGTCACTCTGTTACATGCAAAACAAATTTGTTTTACAGATTATGCAATGTATTTTTTGTGTTGCAATTACATATTAAAATATCATTTAAAAGGTAATGTTTAGTTTCAGTGTAAAGTAACACGGTAATATTCAGCATATATAAGAGAATAATTTGCATTTTGAAGAGAAACAAAGTATAATTCTAATTTAGTTGTTAGGGCACTTTCATTGTTTCTTAATCGATTTTTTAAAATAAAAATAAAACAGTTTCTTTTCTCGTTTTTCCCACCTTCAATTGGTTTAATAAACTTTAAGCTGATTGGTTTAAATTTTGACAACATCAATTTCTGACCAATTGGAATGCCTGAATCTTGTTGGTACACAAAGGACTTTAAAACCCCCCAGCTGTCTTTAAGCTGCACAAGACGATCTTTTGAAACCGTTCTGCGACTAAAGGAAGCAAACCCACGTATGTACGGAGAGTGTACGTGCATAATTTATCTAAGAGGCAGCGCTCCCGGCCGCTGCGTCGAACGTTCTGTTTTTAAAGCTAGCCTGAGCTTACGTGGTAGCATGGTGGCTAGTTGTACGTTGTCAGTACTTATATAGCCCGATAACAGCTGACTTAATTGAGTTGGTGTTCGAAGCATTGTCACGTCACCTCCGGGGTGATATGTTTATCATCTCTTAACGTAACGATAGTTCGCGGAGGACGAGTAAATATCTGCATTTGGTAAAGCAGTTGACCTTAAGTAAAAGGACCTAGCTGTTTAGGTAGCCAAAGAGTAATGTGACGACGTGTTCTGCGACCAGTTAGCAATGGAGCAGGCACGGGGGGCAGCGTCACCACATCAGGTGCGGCAGCTGTGCGTGAACACACCTCAGAGCAAATAGTTTTTTATAAGTTCCGCTCTTACTACACTTTCTGCCGTATCTGTATTGTTTTATTAGAAAATATAAATTATGCGTCTGGCAGCACATGTGATTGCAAATGGAAATCCACGGAACTGATTCAAAGCAACCTGTATTGAAGGCCTTTGACTGATTTAGTTGTAGCCACATGACGATTTCCGCAGCACAAATACGCCAAAGAATTGTGGTAAAGTAACGACATTTTGACGTCTGTGTACATCAGCTAAAAATAGAGTTGGTTACGTCTCCACTTTTGTGTGCACTTGTTTGGAAACTGCAGTGTAGGTGTTTGCATACACGGAGCAGAATATCAGATAAGACAGCACCAGCAGTTCAAGATAAACAGAATTCTTTGTTTATTTTTAAGTGTTCAGAGGGGAAGATTCAAACATGGAACCTTCCATTTTGTTTTGATTTGAAAAAGATGCATGTCAAAATATAATATTTTGAGCATTATTTACAATGACTAAAAGTTTAAATGTAAGTGTGTATATGTGTGTATGCAGCTGGGAGGTCGGATGTGAAATTGGTTAATTAGCTGAAAAGGTTGTGTAAGCTCATCCATCTATAGAACGGGATGATATGAACAGCTCAGGTACTCAGTACTGCAGTTCCTTACTATAGGTGTCGACATAAAGAACTATGGATATACTAAATGTTAGATAAATACTACTGCAATGTGGTGGCCTGAAATCCTCTGGTGTACTTCATGCTGCAACCTTTAAATTATTGAGTTTCATTTGAATAAATTGTCAGCTCATTGAACAGCCTGACACTGATACAGCACACTTCTCATTTGCTCCCACACCACAGGTGCTGGCTCTGCTCAGCTCGTGCTTCTCATAGCTCTTTAGAGGTTCAAAAGCTTTTCTGTTTTCCTTTTCCAACAGAAAGACAAGCTCGTATTTCCTTCATCTGCCCAAAAGATCCCTGCAGTTCGGACAAAAATGGTAAGTTTTCTAAAAAGTATTATTTTCATTTAATCTTAAAGCCAGTTTTTGCTTGTGTGAAGGATTTCCAGGGGTTAAATCATTGAGACTTTCAGCTTAAAGATGATGGAACAGGATGACCTGTTCAACCATTATAAGTCCTAAGTCCTAAAATGAATAAATCTTATTTTTTTTGTGCTAAAACAACAATTCAATACTTTCAACATGTCAGCATTGTGTGACTGAGTAGACTGCACATGTATTTGTGATAGACCTTTAAGATAACTCGGTTATAATATCTGTTTACTACCAGTATTTCATCTTTTCAATAGGTGTGACAGTTCTAAAATCCTGTGTGACAGACATCCTTCCAGCAACTGGACATAACCCCTACAGATGATGGAAGACTCTGCCCACATATACATCTCTGAACATGGAGACAACATGGATATACAGGAGGAAGAGGAGCGTTATCAAGATGAGCCACATGTGACCTCTGAGCACACAGAGCTTCACAAACATCCTAACCAGAACACTGAGGGAGAACATTTTCACTGCCAGTACTGTGAGAGAAAGTTCACCACTAGGCAACGCTGGGAACAACATGTGCATATTCATGCTGTCTCTACTGATAAGGCACATGCACATGAAAGCAGCACTTTAAGTTCAAAGATTAGTCAGATGCAGCATGAAGAGACAGAGCCTGTAGATTCAGTCATGCAGCAGGAGAAGAAAACAAACTTGCCCCAAGAGGAGATTCCTCAGAGATCACTCAGTGAATCATCTCAACATCAAACACATCTTGATCCAAATGCTGCATCAGGAGCTGTTCAGGAAAATGAAGGGGAGCATTCAGAACAATACATGCTCGACATCTCCAGCAATATCTCAGAGAATCTCAGCTTTTACATCGATGGAAAGATTGTTTCAACTAGTACGGTTAGTAACTGTGAAGTTGCCGAGGTTCACTCTGGGTCTTCGGCTCTAGTCGGACTGGATGCCCTGATTGGGGACCCAGCCCAAATCAACCAGGTTTTAAACATGGACAAAGAAATGTCTGGTCAGCCACATGCCAAGAGAAGAACTGCAACACCTCCCCTCTTGCCACAAATCAAAACTGAACTGGAATCTGAGGTGGTTTTGTCTTCATCATCCTCCTCACTTGTATCTACTTTGATAGACAACCTCTTCCCCCACAGCACAGACTCTACAGTTTTTCAGAAGGAAAGAACAGTATTTCTGTCCCCTAAGCTGAAGCAGATTCTGGAGAAACAGGATGGTCTCACACCTACACTGGCTCTCATCACAGATGGGCAGAAGCCATCCTCACCTGTCTCCCTCTCTGTCCTGCCTTGTGGGACAGGAAGGTTCAAGAGAAGAACTGGCTCTCCAACAAGCTCCCCACAGCAAAATGCAGCATCAAACGAAGAAGCATCCATGCCCACAGAGGAGTTTGGTAATGGGGGTGCGGGACAGATTGAGACCCAGCATAGCTCACCTTTACAACAAACATTCAATGACAACAATAATACATCTCCATCTGTAGTTGAACCAGCAGTGAAACATGCTTTGTCAGAGAATTGGCCGCCAGTGACTGGTGGTAATTCCTGTAACCAGCAGCCTCTGGATCTTTCCAACACTGTCAAAAGAAATGAAAATATATCTTCAGCCGATGCTGCGCTTGATTTGAGTTTGCAAAAATATAACCCAGCTGAATCTGAACCAGCATTCGATTTGGTTTCACAGCCAGTTTTGAAAGGAGAATCAAACTCATGCAAAGTGGAAAATCCCTTAATTAAAATTGGAGAACGACAATTGACCCTGGGGAATCCAGAGACTCCTCTTGTTACAGACTTCACCATAGTCACAGGTTCGGACATAGTGACTCCACTAGAGCCTGTTGCAGAGGGGCTTATTTATGGACTAACTCTACCTCCAAGTTCACTGACTCCATCAACCACCTCCCTAACCCCTGTGGGCTTAGAGCCAGGTTCCCCATGTACTATAGCATTTGCTTCACCAGTCACGCACACCATGCTTCCCACTGCTCCTTCATTAATCACAGTTTTGGCTCCACCGCCACCTATTCCCAATCCCTCTAGCCAACCGATCCAGGTATTGGCCCCTAATATATCTACTGAACCCTTAGTAATCTGTACAGAAAATGCATTAAATACTTCAGAGTGTGATTTAACGACTCAATTTGCCAGTACAAATCCTGCAAACATAGTCACTCTCTCCCAGCCCCTTGACCCAGGCCTAAATCTGCCAGGTCACGTGTTTCTCACTGATCAGATTGCGCTCAATCCACCTCTGGTTGAATCCACTTCTGCATCCGAAATGTCATTTACACCTACTGTTACTTTAAGTGATTCCATGCTCAATTCTTACAACATCGCAAGCAACACATTGTTGATAGAGTGCACAATAGCTCTTGAAGCCCCAGGAAGCATTGCTCCCGCAGCAGTTGCGTTACAAAAGAGTACTGCTGAACCTTCATCACACACCCAGATGATTGTTAATCACATAGAACACCAACAGATTGTGTCAGTACCCAACACTCAAACTGTGGACCCCACTATTCTGATGTCGTCTATAGCAGAATCTGTAACTCTGTCCACTGAGCCTTCTGTGATATCGGATTCTCCCTCTGTGGGAGACTCATGTCCTGATGCAGACCCCGTTACTCATCCAGAGCTACCAACCGTAAGAGATGAGGAAGCTGCGGAGGGTTCAGATTCTGTGTCTGAAATTGCACCTGAATCATCTTCTCCTCTTCTGCCCGAGAAAGCCAAAGAAGAAGAAAAAGACGAATCTTCAAATAACACAGCCACTGTCCAAGAGCAGACATTCACAAAGAACTTCATCTGCAACGTGTGTGACAAGCTTTTCCACTCGATGAAAGAACTCGGCCATCATGTAGGTGACCATGCTGATGAATGGCCTTACAAATGTGAGTTCTGCGTGCTGCTTTTTGGCAAACCCTCTGCTTTGCTCGACCATCGATCAAGCCTTCACGGTGTTGGAAAGACTTATGTCTGCAGTGCATGTACAAAAGAATTTGTCTACCTTTGCAATCTAAAGCATCATCAAGAGGAATTGCACCCCGGTCAGCAGTGCACATACACAGAAGAAGAAAAAGGAAAACTAAGACCTCAGAACTACAACAACTCCACTAAAGTGAACATAGATTCTTTAACCCTTGAATCTTTGGAAGAATCTAAGAAATCGGTGAAAAAGGAAGAATGTGAGGCTGATGTTGCTTCTGAAGAGCTGTTCACAACAATTAAGATCATGGCATTAGATGGAAGCAAAGTCAAAGGGCCAGATGTTCGTCTTGGCATTAATCAGCACTATCCGAGTTTTAAGCCCCCTCCTTTTCCCTACCACAACAGATCCCCTGCTGGCTCAGTCCCTTCTGCCACAAACTTCACCACCCACAACATCCCACAGACCTTTAGCACAGCTATTAGGTGCACAAAATGTGGGAAGAGCTTTGACAACATGCCAGAGCTACACAAGCACATCCTAGCGTGTGCAAACGCGAGCGATAAACGGCGGTACACGCCACGAAAAAATCCCATCCCTTTACGGCACTTTGCAAAATCTCAGAACGGGGTGCTGTCGACCACAAATTCCTCTAATGGACTGAATTCGTCAGTCAGAGTCAGCCAGGCGAATAGGTCTAAACCTGGCCATGAACCACCCGTCAAGTTTAAAATGCTGAGCAGAAGGAAGAAAAAATTGGTTCAAAGAGTCATGCCACAGAGAAACAAGTCCGTCCCTCCGTCAAACAAAGCTTCACCTGCACAGGTGGAGGTGCAGCAGGAAGTCTTTGTGTGCCCGCACTGCAGCAGGGAGTTCACAATGCGCCGCAGCAGAACCAAGCACATGGCTGTCTGCCCCAAAAAACCTAAGGAAATGAAAAAAAGGAAAGAGGGAGGGATCTCCGTCACAAAAGAAAATAACGGACACTTGCACAGAGGCGCTCCTCATATGAAAGATAAAGAGCAGTCGTCGCCTCAGCATAAAACCAGACTTCAGACATCTGGCTCCGCAAAGAGGCCGGCCATTCTGCCAGTGCAAACCATCTTCTCCAGCAAAAGAAGTAAGATCATTATAAAAGAGAGCACACAGCCAAAGCAGGAAGCACCCACCCTGACAGAGCTGCCCATCCGCACCTTCAACCCCTCCATGCGGCAGTACGGCAGAGTGCACCACAGCGTCAAAGGAGTCCCAATTAAAATCACCGTCGTCAAAGCCCAACAGACTGCACCACAGAGAGACGATTTGCCTCCCACTCAGAGCCAAGAGGAAGCCAGTGGAACCAATAGCAGGCACTCTGAGCAGAGCGCGCTGGCTTGATGACTCGGAGGACCATCCGGGATCAGCAGGTAGTTTTAATTTCAAAGTTTTCAAATAATGTAAAGAATATAAAGTTTCATTTTACAAAACATCAAGAACAGTAACATTGACTTAAACGCCAAGGAGATTTCATTATCTCATAAAGCAGCATATGTCAAAGAAACATTTAGATAAACCCTCAGTTTTAAAAAACAAGGATAAAAATAAATAAATAGGGCAGACAGATTATTTTCAGAGCAACATACCATCTGTATCTCCTTCACTTTACGGTCTGTTTTTGTTTCCAGTACTGTGCTGTATGGAAGTCCTCAATTAATCAAAAGGGAGAAAAACGCACTTGTTCTTTTAACCCAGCGGACTCGTAGGCTGCACCGAATTACCAAATTCAGAACAGATGAAACAGACAAACCAGGATAATGCAATGAGTAAGTGTGAAGAACTTAGAGTCGAATGCTTTTTTTTAGGAGCTTGGCATATTGAAGGATTTTTCCTCCGTTGCATAAGCTTGCTGTCAGTGGTTTGAACTTGCACTTAAAGTCAGTCTGACTGCTACAAAATGGAAAGGAACCAGGAGGGCCTGAGCTGCTCTCTGTTCCTTTATGAAGGGATTCTTCGGAGAAGATGGCAAGTGGCAATCATGTTCAGCATGCATTTGCACTTTTTGCTGCCTGTGGCCTTTTGGTTTAGATTCTGACTGCATGCTGTCTGTGAGCTTCCAGCACAGCCACGTTCATGTGAGACGTCTTGTGTTGATGCAGGATGGCCTTATACACTGAATTTGATCATGAACATTTGCTCCTGTAGAAAAGAAGTGGGAGCAAATAGAAGGCATGCGAAATGTCATCAAATGTAAATGTGGAAGATTGTTTTTGAATTAAAAACTATAAGATAGAAGAAACGTAACATTGCAGTGTAACACTGGCCGCAAGCTGCCCATTGTAAGTCCCGTTCATGTCACTATAATTATTATTATTGTTATAATTTGATCAATTGTTCAGATATTCTTTTTTTTCATGATTGTCATGAATGTAATATTTAGTAGATTTACTGCCACAGCATTTTGGGTTTTGTTGTTTTGGCTCAGCTGCTACTTTATGTACTGTATGGGTGTTTAAAGAATAATGCTCTTTATGTGCCATCAGACAAATGTGGTTGGACATTATTTGGCATGAAAGTAGTGCAAACTTGATGTTGTTAAATGTTTCCCAGTTAAAGAATTTATTTTGGTGGCTTTAACAAACAGAATCGACTCCCTTAAAATGTATTTTCCAAGCCAACCCCTCTCAAATGGCTTTTAGATAAGGAATATTTACTCTTGTCATCTCGACTGGGACTCCCTAGAGGAAGATATTTCATTTGTCAACCGGATTCACAAGGATACATAAAAGCATAGATAAAGCCAATGCAGTTACTTTTGTGGCAGAAAAATGTTCCAGAGCACTCAGGCCACCACAAATAAATTGGTTTTATTTGGGAAACCCTAATATTGAAAGCAGAACAGAAGCAGTGGTGTGTGTGCATTCTCTGTACAACTTAGATACAACAGAGGCCGAGGCAGTCCCGGGGAACGGCTGGACTGCATGTGAGCCCAATCATCATTTACAGTTTGATTTTAGGCTTTGTTTCACACTTATTCTACAAATCATTGTCAGATGATTGTCATGTGAAGTTTATCCCTCTCTATGTTTTTTCAAAGTCTGTTAAAGTAATTTTCTTCTGTAACATACAAGCAACTCATCCCTGCCTCTACCCTCTGTAGCCGTTGTCCACCGTTTAATCTACGAAGTGTTGATGATGACATCCACCATGTGCATCCCAATTGGAGAACTTTTTTTTTCTCTTAAATGTTTGTTGCACATTTTCATGATGAGCATAGTGTGTTTTATTTACACTTTTATAAGCTAAACGTTTGAAAAATTATGTGCTATACAGGGTATTTTTTGCTTTGTCATTGAACTGTTTAATTTGCTCAAACTAAAACTTGACAACTGTATCTGTGAGAGTGAGAGAATCTGTGCAATGGTATTTCCACATTTTTGCCTTTTCAGCCCCCAGTGGTAATTTTTCTTTAATTCGGACTGCAAATGTTGGATGTACAGGGTGGTTTGGAAGAGTGTTACTTAACTGTGAAAAGTGCTTGTAGCATTTCATAGTGTACATTGACTTATGTGTATTTATTGATAATTTAAATCAGCTTATCAGTGTCTGAATGATTTCTGTGATGATTTGCACTAAAAATGTTTTTTTTTTTTTCAAGCAAGTGTTCAAAATAAATGGAGAATGTTAAAGTTATACATGAAATTGGTTTGGGAGTTTCTTTGGGAAACAAGTCATGCTGATTGCAGTGCTGTAGGTGAAATGAAAAGGATGATCTCCTTTTTTATCAACTGCCAGAAAGTGATAAGCCTGTATCTGTTGTATTGTGCATTTGCATAGTACAAAATATGTCCAGGTGGTGGCACACTTTTCTCACTTTGCAGCAGGTGATTGTACAGAGACAGAGGAGTGCTTTATTACCACTGCATCTCCTCTATAGTTTTAAGATTATGTTACAACACTCTAATCCACTTCATCATCATAAACCATTTGGAAGCTTGATGCTACAAAGTCTTGATGCCAGAATGTCCATAGTCCCCAGCCCATGACCTGCTCTCTTAAAAAACAATAATTACTCAGCAGAGTGTCTCTTTTACATTTTTCTTTTTTGATTAATCTAGATAACTCTTGAGAAAAAACAACAACAGTCTCTTTGGCTTGTCTGTGACATTAACTACAGAATTGAATACGTGTGCCTCTTTTTCAGCATGAAATGGCAGCTTTATCAATTACTTATTGGAAAAATATTTTCTGAGGCAAATATGATAATCTGAAAATATTTTTGAACATTTCTGTGTCGAATTTGCTGACCTTGGAAATTAGTTTAACATTAACCAAGGTCCAGTTTGGGGCTGTGATCAAACATTAGCTAGGGCTTTTTAACTCCCCTTTTTCGGCTTGTCTTTGCTCGAAAGTGGAACTCTACAATAAATATGTGCAATAATGGCAAAGCTTACCAACTGATTTAGAAAAATTCAGACTTCTAGTCAACTGAGCTAGTGCAACAGCATTTTGAATGTCTTTTTTTGTAACTTTTGTTGGAGGAAATAAAAAAATGAAACTCAGGGTTATCCGTCTGCATCCCAGGCATACAGAGTCTCTGTGATCGTGCTGGAAACTGATTCACAAGGCCAAGGACAGAGACAAGGCCCAGTCAAACAAACACCAGAGCATAGCCTTTTATGTTTATCATAAAAAGATGGCTCTTACTGTTTTAAGCAGATGCAGGGATTATTGTAGCAGATAACAGGTTTCGGTAGGATGTTACTGTTTACATTCTAGTTTCATTACAAGCACAGCACGCTGTGCTTGACCACACCAGTTTTGTACATTTTGCACCGTGATCTTTGATCAGAAAAGGGTCTGAGTGGCAGGACAAGGTTACTCGGACTATCTGAGAAACAGATTGGTTGTGGAGAAAAAATAGGTTTCTCATCTTGGGGTCAGCCAACACAGAGTTCAAACTTCTGGGACCTCTGGGAAATTGTATTGTGAAAACAGAGCCGTTTTCCCCCTCTGTTTTCTGTTGAGTTGGGCTTTCCCAATTAGGTGTGGATTGGTGGGCCTATTTAAGGGGCAGACTCACAATGCCAGGGAGGCAGCTTGCAGGGAGGCTGCTGGAGGAGGCTGCTGGTGGTTGGTTGGTTGGTTGGTTGGTTGGTTGGTTGGTTGGTTGGTTGGTGAGAGTGCTCTAAAAAAACTATAGTTGATGTCAGCTTGCAGTGAGGCTGTAATTTCTTTGTATTGCCTGCAATGGCCGGTTTTGTTTTCTTTGTTTGAAAGTATTTTGTTTGTTTTTTGTTTTTTTTTGTCTTCACCATCGCACCTGTAAATAAACCACAACACGTTTTCACTGGAACTGTCGTCATCTGGTTCTTACCACCTTTTTGTAAGTCCTCTACGTACTCCTCCTCTAACGTGAGACGGGGGCTGGCGAGCCGCTTTCTCACATGTATAAACAGTCATTGAAATTTTTTTTTTCTGAAAAAATACAGGTAAGTAATACAGTCATTACTTTCAGTGAAAACTGAATTTTGAATTGTAAGGTTAGGTTTTCTTTTAGATCATTTTAAAATCTGCTCAGTGTGTTTGCATGCTAGCAGTAACGCTCTTTAATGGGGCATTACTTTGCACTGAAATGGTAGATTTGCTAGTGTTAAACTAACAATTGGTCAGGGTTAATATTTTTCCTTCTTAAATGGGACATATGTGTTTATGTTTATGTTTATGCGTGTTTGCATGATGTCTGTGTTTGAAAATGCAGATTATTTTTTCTGCCTTTTATTCAATATATCATTCAATGAGTTAGCTTAGTTAGTTTAGCTATGTTCTGAAAGTTCTGAAAAAGACAAATGGTTCACCAAATATCTCATAATGTGACTGAACCCATACTTGCAACACAAGCTGTTAAACTAAACACACAGCACCATCAAGTATTATTGCTTGACAAAAATGAAGACGTTTGCAACAGTTTCATTAAAAAACAACATGGTTACGGACCAACTATTTAATCCATACCCAGGGAAAGCCTACAGCCAGTTCTCTGTACAGATGGAAGGTCTAAGTGCCGTCCTGTGCCTGAACATCCTCCCAATCAAATAATTAACAGAGGAAAAAATAATCTCCCCCTAAATGTAATTGTTCATCAACATGCAGCGCAGAGAGCATGAACTTAATTAGAGTTTGGCAACCATGCAGGATACTTTATTGCTACAGGCCCAAAAAATAGGAATCCAGGGGAAAGAAGATATTTTATGACTTGTGCATTATGAGGAAGCATTGGTAGCTGCTAACGTATCGCTTTAATTCCTCCAACCCCTGGTGTTAAGGCCGTATTCGCTAATCTACTAGCACTGCAGATGCACTTGACTCAATAGTAGGTGAGGCACCTGGTTTAATTTTCTGTATATTCTGTCTAACAACCTGTGAGCTTTATCTCATGGTTTGACACCTCAGAAGCTTTCACTTTTACAAACTGAAAGCATTGTTAAAAAGTAGCTCCCCTTTTAACTGACATGTTTCAAGGTCCAGTTAATGGGTAGTGTCCTTTTATTTGTACAATTTGAAGGGTCTCAGAAAAAAAAGGGTCAGACCTCTGATCCCTGGCAGAGGATTTGCCAGCAGAGCTCCTGACAAACCCCAGCCAGGAGGTACAGATATCCTGAGCTCACTGGCTCAGTTACAGCTCCACTGTGATGCTGCATGTCTGGGCTCAACACAAAGTCTCAGCCCGTGGCCTGAAGGAACTCTCACAGGAAATTGTGACGAGAAGTGAGAACACAAGGTCAGAGATGATGTACGGACGCATGAAAACATCCATTCCACAAGTGTGAGCAGTAACCTTTGATCGGCTTATTTTTAATTGAATCTTTCCGGCTAAAGCGTTGTTAAACAGGACTGAATCCAAAGCATTTAAGCACTGCGAATTGGTTGTAATTTTTCCCGTCGTTTGAGACTGCATTTTGTGTGTCAAAACGAAAACGACTGCCAGGGTTTGAATGACGCAGCGTGTCATCTGGAAGAGGATTAAGTTTCCTGTGTAGGTGAGGCGTGTGTGAAGTGCTGAAATGGTGACAGGAGCTGACAGGATCACAGTGTTACGCTGGAGACAGTCTGGAGCTGCGTCACACCACCCCTGGCATTGCCAGCTCTGGCTTTTGTCACAGCGATACTTTCTAAAATTGCTCAGATGAGTATTTTTTGTTGATTTTCTTAATGAAAGCACAAGTTCTTTTTTCTTTTCTTCTTCTCTGATGAATTAGCTAGCTGCTGTCACGGACAGTGGAACTTTCACAATCACTGAGAGTGCACTTGATGATGATTCATCATAGATCAATGGCTCTTTTCGTTCATTTCATGCCACCTTAAGTGTGAGATCAGTGGTTTTAACACCTTTGACTGTTACCATTTTTGCTTTGAAGTCTAACACTTTTTCATTGTCGTTTGGCTTAAAAGCTAAATGTGCCCACAGAGGTGATGTCACTGTTAATTGCAATAAACAAAAGAAATCAAGCAGCTTAAATGAATGAACTTTTTAAAAATCTCAATGACCTATTTTGAGTTTGTAAAGAGAAAGGTTTCCTTTCTATCAACATGTTTTAATGTAAAACTGAGCAGGGAGATGATGTGATGATGGTTCTAATGTCAGTCTGATCTCTCAACAGTTAAGTTCCTCATTTCATTACTGTCTTAGTAGATCAAAATCATCATTTTGATGTTGTCGCCTCACCTGATGCAACCCTTCCTGCTCACGTAGAATAATTACGGCCAGGTCTCTTACAAAATGCAGGTACATAACCCCCTCTGCATGGTTGGTGGAAGCTGCAAAAACCTAAAGTTAAACAGGGATAAAGCTCTTTGGCTGGAACTCTTCTTCTCCCTCTGCATTGCTGTTCATCAGGGAGCAGAACAGACATGATAACGAGGACATTAATAAAGGATGCAGATCCATTTTTAATGATCCGTTGGCCTCTTTAGTTTGAAACAGATTTTTGTGTCCGTGGCTGAGTTCTCTGTTCAGAAACTGTCATTCACTTGAAGTGAGACTTGTGAATGTGCTCCAGAAACCTGCATGCTCCTGACTATTTGTGTTCGAATGAGACATTGACTTCTCTATTTCTGGAAGATAATCCTCCATTTGGAATGTGAGGGGGAGAGAAAGGGGGTAGGAGAGAACTTTACCTTTACCATTCTGAAGCTAATTTGTTTTGCGCAGGGGGCTATCTAACACTCAAAAAGCAAAACAGAACCACACTGGAAGTTTGGGTCCATCGAATCCAGACTTAGAATATGATAGCAATAGTTTGCAGTGCACATTCTAACAGTGTGAATAGATTTCCATACATAATCAGTCCATTAATTATGTATCTTGTCCATTTCTACCGTTAAACATTCCAGCTCCAGTCAAACAGGAGCAAAAAGAAAAGGATCTAGAAGAATAGGAAACCATAGCCAAAAACCACAAGTAGCTGCAGCTACAATGTGATATCGGAACTGGTTACACGCACACATTTACACACACACACACACAATGATCTCTGTTCTCACTTTGGTCGAGGGGGGAAGAGTGTGTTTTCTCTGCAGCAGGCTTCTCCTTCTCATTGCTTTCTCCCTCTCTTTTGCTTTGTTCATGCTGTGCTCCCCGTGTGAAGCGGCGGCACACTGGAGCACTAATGAGCAGGC